GCACAAAGCTATGTGTTTAATCCTCAGGAATGCAAAAGAACTCCATTCACTGAATCCTGAAACATTTGGGGACTTGCCAACTGATTCTTCTTCGTAGTTTATAGGTGGAGTTTCTCTGTGTCTTAGCAGCCGCTCCCAAATAAATACTAGCAGGCTTATTATTAATTATAAATGCTTGGCCGATAGCTCAGGCTTGTTGTTAGCTAATTCTTACAATTTAAATTAACCCATATCTCTTATTTACCCTCTGCCATGTGGTGGTACTTTATTTCAACATGGCATGTTCATCTTGCTTCTCTCTGCATCTGCTCAAGACTTCCGAGACTCCACCCTTCTTTCCAGAATTCTCTCTGCCTGGAAAATCCTGCCTAGCTACTAGCCAATCAACATTTTGTTAACAATGAGAACAACACATTTTACAGTGTACAGAATTATTTCACAGTATTTCTCCCTTTTTGTCTAAATAAAAAGATTATAACTTTAACATAGTAAAATTTAACATAGTAAAAACATAAATAAAAAATTTTTGATAAGCAACAAAAACACTTATCAAGTAAGAATTAGTTATAATATCCTGTCAATTTGTGTTTGGCAAATTTAGAGAAAATACCCTTTTATTTATCTTATATTTGTAAGTCTAAAGTTTTATACCTAATTTACCTTTTATCATAACTAAGGAAAATTTAAGTCTAAATGGTTAGTCTTTAACTCTATCAAAGATCCCAGAAGGGTGAAATGTTACCTAATGACAAGGACATCTGACTTCTTGGACAGTCACCCAAACTTGTTCTGTAATGTTGGGGCATCCAACTTTGGACTACAGGCCCAGTCTGACACCTAATGACAAGGACATCTGACTTCTTGGACAGTCACCCAAACTTGTTCTGCAATGTTGGGGCATCCAACTTTGGACTACAGGCCCAGTATATCTGACAGACATTTCTGAGAAGCAAGGAATTTTGAAGGACTGTCCTACCTTGTCTTGGCAAAGTTTGGCAGATGCTTTTTTTTTTTTTAATTTTGCATCTTGAAGGTCTACTTTGGACAGTATACTATCAGCAGTGGAGGCAAGGGCAGTTTTTTTCCCCAAATGGCTAGCTTTTGCCATATAGAAAACAAACTCCACATGGGATTTCTTCAATGTCCATTATCCTCTTCTGAAGTAAATTGGTGCTGTTAGGAGCAGACATGTCTTACTGTCATGAAAAGCCTTAGGTTATTAAATACCTTAAATGCCATGTTCTGTAGGTCTTTGAAGTATTTGAAGACCATCTATCTATCTAAATATATCTGTTTAACCTTGAAAACATACCTAATATGACTACAAGTTTGATTATTATAGATGACTAACTACTAACCTGCATTTCTTTATTATCCTAACTAGTTTGTAACAATATAAATACCTTAAATGCCATGTTCTGTAGGTCTTTGAAGTATTTGAAGACCTTCTATCTAAATATATGTTTAACCTTGAAAACATACCTAATATGACTACAAGTTTGATTATTATAGATGACTAACTACTAACCTGCATTTCTTTATTATCCTAACTAGTTTGTAACAATAACTTTCAAGTTATAGAAATTTACATTACATTGTTAAATGAGCTGCATAGGTACAAAACTTTAAGCAGAGTAGAAATGTATGTAAAATATGTTCTAGCAACAAATAATCTTAAATTTGTATCAATGTACAATAATATATTAATAGTAGAAACATATATATACTATAATCAAAATAACCTCAAATTTGTATCAATATACAAGAATCCATACCAATGTAAAATATTTAAGACTAGTAGTTGCTTTTTTTGGCTTAAAAGTAGATTCAATAATCTACCTTTTTGTATCATTATTTCTCCATTCCCCCTTTCTCTTTTAGAAAGATATCTTTGAATTTAACTCTTTTGTTTAGCTTTTTTTAAAATTTTTATTTATTTATTTATTTTTACTATGACCAATAACAACTTGTAACCCCTTCCCAAATGATAAAAAAAATCCATAAACCATCTTTTGTGAATGTGTTGTTTTTTTTGGTATGGTGGCATTGGCACCTTTGGGGGAACCTTGAGAAAATCAGGATAATGGTTAAGTCATGGCTGCAGTATTCTGTGAGGCTGAATCATCTCAACCAGCAGCCTTGAAGTTGTTCTGGATCCTGGATCATCTGGGTCATCCATTGTTGTGGGCGTCTAGTTCCCTTGCTCCGAAAATACATAAACTTTTAAAGGTAATATACATATCTGCATTATTACAAGTATAGACTGCACTGTACACAAGTCAGCCAAAGATGATTTTTTTGTTTAATGTTTGAGCACGTAAAATATACATTATGAGTCTTGTAGTTATTCTAGGATTATTTCTTTATGTTTGTAGTCATGATTTTCAGGGATTTGTCCCCAATTAAACCCGATCCATATTAACCTAGAACAAATGCACAACCTCTCATCTCCTGTAGAAGTAAAAGCATAACCTCTTCCCCAAAGTGACATATCTTTCGACTTGCATTTTGAAGTCAAGGCATTTTAAAAACATATACGTTGGTTTAATCCAGCAGTTTTCATAATCCAGTGTATCTTAGCAGCTGCCATTCCTTCATTAACAATCAGAAAATCTAAAGACAACACAACAACATACAGAATCCAGCTCTCTGTGTATTTCCCATCTTTATGGGGTTTATTATATTTTTTATTACTGTATTTCTTTTTAAGGACTTTATTTTTAAACATTTTTAATCTACTTGTCTATATTTTTTCTCCTTTCTCTACCAAGCCTATATATATTTTAAACACACTGTAACCATTTAGGGGGCTTTTCCGCATCTGGATCTGTCTTTTCTGAGCATCTGTATTGTTTTTTTGATTGCATGAAATGAAGGGCTTTTCCGCATCTGGATCTGTCTTTTCTGAGCATCTGTATTGTTTTTATGATTGCATGAAATGAATCTTAAACTACTATGTCAACCACTACCAATGTAGCTTAGCTTAGTGCATGGCGGCTAGCAGCTGGCTCCTCCTGCAGACAGCTGCTAGGAGATGAGTCTTGGTACTGTGGCCAGCATGAGAGATATGAGACTAGGAAGCCAGGTTTGGCTTTGTTTTTGTGTGTTTAGAACCCATTTTAAAACTTTCTCAGGTTTTATGTGGATGTAGGTACCAGACATGTGGGCGCCATTAGAAGGCAAAGTTTCTCTGTGTCTCAGCAGCTGCTCCCAAATAACCAATCACAGACTTATTATTCATAAATGCTTGGCCAATAGCTCAGGCTTGTCACTAGCTAACTCTTACATTTTAAATTAACCCATATTTCTTATCTACCCTCTGCCATGTGGAGGTAACTTTTTTCAACACGGCACATTCCTCTTGCTTTTCTCTGGTCTTCTCCAGCTCTGCCCTTCTTCTTCCCAGCATTCTCTCTGCCCTGAAAATCCTGCCTACCTATTGGCCAATCAGCTTTTTATTAACATTGAGAGCCACAAATTTTTGTTGTGCACAGAAGGATTATTTCACAGCAGTAGTTTCTACTTTTTTGCTAATGTTCTGTCCTGTTTTCTATCTTTCAACATACCACACTGCATTTTAGAGCCTGATCTTCTATTGTTTGGGTTTTGCATGAGTCTTAAGTTTTGAGATGTGTGTTATTTCCTGAGATAATCAACCTACAATGAGAAAAACTTCACTTTGGCCCACTGTTTTGGAGTCTACCATCCATGGATGACTGGCCTGACTGCTTTGAGCTTATGGTGGCACATCTGATGGAGGAATGCAACAGAATAAAGGTATTTCCGTCATAGCTGAGGTTACCGGGAGAAGGGAAGGTGCAAGGGATAAGGAGAAATTCCCACTAGGCTCTACCTATTAAAGGTTCCTTCACCTGATATCAGTGCCACCCTCACTTCATACATGGGAGCTGATGGAAGATTTGAATTATGCCAGGTGCTCTATTTTGAATGGATCTTCCAACATTGTGGTGGTTGGATGAAAATGGCCCCCATAGGCTCATCCATTTGCACACTCAGTCACCAGAAAAAGGAACCGTTTGGAAAGGTTTCGGAATGTCCTTGTTGGAGGAGGTGTGCCACTGTGGGTGGACTCTGAGGTGTCAAAAGCTCAGCCAGGCCCAGTCTCTCTGCATCCTGCCTGTGGGTCAGGATGTAAAACCTTCAACTATTTCTCCAGCACCATGCCTGCTTGAGTGCTGCCACCGCCATGCTCCCACCATGATAATGGACTAACTCTCTGAAACTGTAATCAAGCCCCCAATTCCATACTTCCATTTATAAGAGTTGCCTTGGCCATGGTGTCTCTTCATAGCAAGAGAACATTAACTAAGACAAACATTAATATAAAGTATTATAAAAACAACTTTTACACTCGGGAGGCAGAGGTGGGTGGATCTCTGTGAGTTCGAGGCCAGCCTGGTCTCCAAAGCGAGTGCCAGGATAGGCTCCAAAGCTACACAGAGAAACCCTGTCTCGGGAAAAAACAAAACAAAACAAAACAAACTTTTAAAAGTAGGTCTAGAGAAGATTTACATTCACTGAGTGGTGACCAGGTACAAAAGGAATCTAGGGCCACCTTAACCAGTTTACAGGAGTCAGGATTGTAACAATAACTCTTTCTGCCAGCCGCCTGAGTTCTGCTTCCACGTTAGGGCCCCAAATAACAAACAGAATCTTATATTATTTACAATGCTGCTGGCCAATGACTAGGATTTCTCATTTGCTAGCTCTGTCTTAAGTATCAACCATAACCATTAATCTATATTAATGGGGAGGTGGACACTGATGGGGCTCAAAGGCTGGTCAATCTAGCCAGCTCAGCAACCCCCAAGTTCCTGAGAGACATACTGTCCTAAGTTGACCTCTGACCTCCACAAACATGGATAGGCGCCTACACACATGTATACCCCTTTCCCAACACAAAGAACAAGATTTCACTGGTCATATTTTATTTCAAGTGCTTATGGTTTTCAAACTGAAATATATGAAAAATGAATACATTGTATGGGACTGTTCATAAAATGTTAAATGTTAAAACTGTATGACATTTGAAAATACTAAAAATTAACTACATTTCAAATATATATATGTTAACTATTAAAAGGATTCATCATTATTTAAAAACACTGATATGAATATCTTTTAAATATGTAAGTATATACCTGTTGACTTTTAAAAAGACAAACTACTTTTCAGACATTTAACAAAGCAGTAAAAAAAAAAATCTAATCTTGTACAGATGTCTTTAGCTACTAAAAACTATCATAAATCATATAGCACAAATATTGGCCAACTACTTCTGCCCATGTTAGGCACAGAGGAGCTGCTGTTTGAGTCATTTGGCTGACAGAGAAGCAGCCTCACAGACCTTAGTTCTTCTCTTGGGCAGCCTCGGGGCAAGAGGAAAGTCTCGAGAAATTACAAAACTTAGACTCTTCCTTTTTAACTAGTGTCTCCTCTAGTGCTCTCGGAGTTAGACGTAAAAATGGACTAACACAAATGTATAGAGAGAGGTTTTGAAGAGAAAATTGGATATCCCAAGGGAGGGTCAGCGGCTTGGACAGTGAGGTTCCTCAAAAGGAGTGGGTGAGCTTGGATACTGTACCGCTCCTCATCATCGTTGGTGGCATAAAGCAGTTCCCATGAGAGATTGGCCCACTGGCCTCGAACAGCTTCCGAATTCAGCTTTCCGATGTGCACCAGGAGCTCCTGAAGCACCAGGACCCTCGACGTGTAAACGCCCTAGAAATGTAAAAGGGGAGGGAAGATCACCAAACATAAAACAAAACTGCCCACCACATAACCATAGAGATTGGCTTCTTAAGAGGCACATAGTTGCTTAGCTTTTGAGTCAAGAATCACCTGTTTGCTTAGCTCTCTAAATATGAGAAGAAAAATTTCACTTAATTACTATGACAGCAAAATTTCAGTTACTTAGTCTTTTCTGACTCTGGCCTGGCAGTTCCCATGGCCTTGGCAACGCACAGCCATAAATGTTAGTGGGTAGATCAGTTATTTTCTCATCGATGTGACAAAATACTGGGTAAGAACAACTTAAGAAAGGAAGGGTTGGAGCTGGAGAGATGATGGCTCAGTGGTTAAGAGCACTTGGATGCTCTTGCAGAGTTCCTGCATTCAATTCCCAGCAATCACATGGCAGCTCACAACCATCTATAGTGGGGTCTGATGCCCTCCTCTGCCCTCCAGGCACACATGTAAATAGAGAATTCATAGAAATAAAATACATAAATCAAAAATCACCAACACTTTTAAATCCCAGCACTCAGGGGTCACAGGCAGGTGGACCTCTGTGAATTCTAGGACAGCCTGGTCTACAGAGTGAGTTCTAGGACAGGTAGAGCTACAGAGAAACCTTGTTTCAAGAAACCAAAAGGGAAAAAAAAAAAAAAAAGGCAGGGTTTGTTCTGGCTCAGTTTGAGGATGTCTTGGCAGCAGGAACATGCCCTCAAGTTTGTTTACACAATGATTCTGTCACCTGTTAAGCTGACAATCAAGATTAATCGTCACAGTAGACAATTGTTCGGCAGGGCTCCTTTTCATTAAGTTTTAATGAAATGTAGTGGGTTTTCTACAACTTCACTCACATTGGTTGTGAATTTATAATCCAATGGCCCCTGACCACTCACAGAACACACAATAATCACCACAGTTAGTCTGAGAACAGTTTCATGTCCTCAAAAGTAAGCACTCATTTCGCTCCCCTACGAAACCACAACGCCTCCACCTCCACATTCACCTGTTCAAGAGTTCAAGGACCTTGGAGCCTGAACTGTCTTTCCTTCATTCCTTTCCACGGCTACAGGTGTACCATAAAATGCCCATCATCTGTTGCTGCACAGCTGGACCAAACCTACCTTTTAGCCATTAAAAACAACACTATAAACATCTGTGAACAGGTTGTTGTGTCAGCCTACGAGTTTGTTCCTTTACAGTGTAAACTGCAGGATCATGTAATAGTTTCATCATCAACTACTTGAGAAATTACCGGAGTGTTTTCCAACGTGACTGTATATTCCCAATGTCAGTATATAAGGGTTCTAATCTCTTCACATCTTTGTCAAGACTTGGTATTTGATTTTCAATTTTAGCTGCCAGAGGACAGTAAATGTTTTTTTCTCCTGGGTACTGCTGGAGCACAAGCCCAGAGACTTGCACATGCTAGGCAAGCAATTTTACTACTAAGACACATACCCTAGCCCTAATCTTATAGTTTTGAACTGGTTCCTGACATGCATGATGTAGTGCATTTGTGTGTGTGTATGTGTGTTTATTGGTTACTGTGTATCTTTGGAGAAGTGTATATAGCTTTAGTCCATCTTCAAATGGGCTATGGTTTTATTAGCTTCTAAGTTCTTCACATATTATAGTAACAAACATTTTATGAGATAATGTGGTTATTTCCCCCATTTTGGGTTGTGTTTTCACTTTCTGATAGTATCTTTTGAAACACAAAGTCTATTTTTCCAATACTGTTTTGCTTTGAGGCAAGGTCTCATGCAGCCCAGGTTAGACTCAAACTGTATTCTGTACAGCAGAGGCAGAGAATGATCATTAAGTCTTGATCCTCCTGGGGATTAGAACATGTGCAAGTCCATCTCTTTCCTCCTTGTGATAAATCTTTTTTGGCTCTATTATTTTGATTATTTTTCAACTTTTTAAAGATTTACTTTATTTTACATGTCTAAATCTTTTACCTGCACGTACACAAGGAGGTCAGAAGAGGGATCTGGGCCCCTGGAACTAGAGTTACAGATGCCTGTAAGCTACCAAATGGGTGCTGGGAATTGAACCTGGGTTCTCTGCAAAAACAATAGGGCTCTAAACCACTGAGCCATCTCTCCAACCCCTTGTTTTGCTGTTGAGACAGGATCTTATGTGGCTACAGATGTAAACTCACTATGAAGTTCTCTGTAATCAAGAATGACTCTGAACTCTTGATCCTTCTGCTAGGATTATGGATGTGTGACATTTCAAAGAACTTTGTTTTTGGTTAGTTGGCTTCAACCTAGGGTCTTATGTATATAAGGCAAACATTCTGCCAATGAGCCACGCCCTCACTCCTGGCTAAGCTATTTACTTTCTCTCTTTTTGACACAGGCCTCAAGTAGTCAGGATGAATGAGAATCTGTGTTATAGCCATGGGTAACCTTGAACTCCCAATCCTCTTGCCTCTGCCTCCCAAGTGCTGGCGTTACAGTACTATGTTGCCATGCCTGGTTTTCTGTGCTGCTGGTAGTTGAACCTAGGGCCACAAGCATCCTACACATCTCGCACTAGGCTGCATCCCTTGCTGAAAGGTTTTACTTACTTTATTTTCATTTTTTATGTGTGTGGATGCTTTGCTTGGATATATATCTGTACACTATATGCATACAGTGCCTGAGAAGGCCAGAAGAGGGTTTTGGGTCTCCTGGGAGTTCCTGATGGTTGAGAGGTGCCAAGTGGTTGCTGGATTTGAACCCTGGTCCTCTGGAAAAAGTAGGTAGTGCTCTTAACTGTTGAGCTTTTGCTCCGGCCCTTAAACACTTTATTTTTTAATGAAGTATATCAATGTGGTTTCATTTGTTTCTTCCTTATCTTTTTGTTTCTCATCCTTTTGTTAGCATGTCTAAGGATTTATTCTCAACTTTGAAGTTTGAAGATTATGCTCACATTTTCTCCTAAAATTTCCATGGTTTAAGCTGTAACATTTAGTTCTTTTATGCTATAAGGTCAGTTATTTAATATGATGTTAGCTGAGATCTTTGCTGAATTGAACAGAATCTCCATATAAGATGAATGCCAGTCCTAACCCACAGCACCTGTGAATATGACCTTTACTGGAATGGGTACTTTGAAATGTAACTAAGGATTTTGAGATGTGATCATCTTGATTTACACGGATCCTTAGTCAATGAAAGAAAGTGAAAGATTTAAAAATTAGCAAAGAAATATAGCCCAGAAACTGACCAAGGCTACTACTATGTCTTAGTGCCTAGAATTTACCAGCCACCAGCAATTACTCCCTTACATGGCCATAAGATAACTGGGTACCAAGAATTCCCCGATGGCCCCCCTCCCCGACGGGGCTCATGGAGGAAACAGATTGCCCCACTGGCCAATGTGTCAATAATTAATAATTAAGGGTCCCTATGAAACAAAGAGATAGCTACCATTTGCTTAAGCAAGATAAGCATATCCTGAGGTCTGCATGTTTTATAACTGGTGGGTCAGGAGGCCATCTGATTCCCAGCCCTCTCCTCAAGACAAAGGGCCTCCTAGGAACCCATGACTCTGGTCACATACTCAACCAACAGAGAGTCGAGGCCCCTCCCTAAGCTTGTGGTTTTTGCCTTTAAATACCTGTGCCTGCATGCTGAGAGAGCCCATTTGTACAAACATCCACATTTCATTAAAGCCTCTTGCTGTTTGCATCAAGTTTCCGACTACTCATGATAAAGTACTTCATGGTGGAGCTTTTTCTATTTATTTAAATGTTTTCTCTCTTTGATAACTTCATCTTTTCTTTAATACCCATATTGCAAAATTTGTTTTTGTGTGCCTGCACACCCGTGCTTCCCATAAACTTAATTTTATTCATTCTTTCCTTTTGAAGTTCCTTTGAATGCATAATTTCTATTGCTCTATGTTTATATTTTCTGAACACTTTTGTTCTTAATGTTGATTTTCTCCAGTGAATTTTTGTGGGGGACCAAAATATTTCCGCTATGGAATATTTTGAGATCCAGCCTTGGGTTTCACTCAACATGAAGCACCGGAAAGCATTTCCGCTATGGAATATTTTGAGATCCAGCCTTGGGTTTCACTCAACATGGAGCACCGGAAAGCACCAGCCCACTATTGTATTGTTAATGCCAGGAAGGCTACTATTGTTTACCAGGGCCTCAGGGTAATATGCCTCCTAATTTGCATCTCTATGTGCCTAAGCATCTGAATAGGCCCTCACCTGGGCAGGGAGAGCAGAGGTGTGTGAGTAACTTGTGAGGAGGAAGGTTAGGAGTTAGGAGCAAGCGACCACAGCAGAGAGAACGAAGAGAGAGGGTTCCCTCATGGTCATGACAGGACGGTTAAGAAACACCAGAAAAGATGGCTAATAAAGAAATGACTCTAGTTCTACAACATGGAACTGAGAGCTCTCTAAAGATGACAAGATGCCTGTGTTTGGTCTTTATCACCGCTGGGTTGCTAGGAGCTTCCAGGTCCACACACCCCCACTCAGGCCGAACCTTATGGATTAAGGCTGAGACACGCTGGGTCACGACAATAGCTTTATGATGTATTTGGAAATTCACAAGTATGAGGTCACCATTTCTCTTTTTAAAAGATTTCCTGGCTATTCTGGGTCTCTTAACATTCCATGAGTTCTAGAAAACCACTCTACTAATTTTCACCACAGATGGGCCTTGAATAGGACTGTGTTAAGTCTACAGATTAATTTGAAGAGTATTGCCATTTTAAACTTAAAAACTTTTGATGTGCATTGGTGTTGGACAATTTGTTGTGCACTGTTTTGTGCAATGGTGTTGCACAATAATGCATAGTATACATGGTCCATGTACTACTTGCATGCCTGCTGCCCATGGAGGTCAGAGGAGGGTACTGGATCCCCAGGAGCTGCAGTTGCAGGTGACTGTGAGCCATGTGGGTGGTGCTGGGAACTGAACTCAGGGCCTCTAGAAGAACATCCAGTGCTCTTCACTGCTGAGCCATCTCTCCAGTCCCAGGTATTACCATTTGAACAATATCGTTTGGTTCACAAACATGGGCATTTTATAAACATGAGTAGTTTCATTTCATTTAGATTTTTAATTTCTTCTTTCAACAATGCTTTACTGTTTTCAGAGTACATGTTTTATACTTATTAAATTTCTACCTGTTTTATTTGTTTTTTGAGACAGGGTCTTGCTATACTAGATAGCTATGAATTCACAGATCCTCTTGCCTTAGTCTTCTACATGCAGAGATTCAAGGCATGAGATACTATGCCTGGCTTGCATTTTGTTCTTTAATTTTATTTATCCATTGTGTGTGTGTACACAGACACATGTCACAATGGAAACTCGGACGTCGGGGGACACCTTTTGGGTCCTGAAGATGGAACTCAAGTCATCAGAGTTGGTGGCAGGTTCTTTTACCTGCTAAGTCATTTCAATGGCCCTTTATTCTTTTTGGTGTAATATAAGTGGGATTTCTTTATTTTATTTTGGTTTGTTCATTGCTAGTATATAAAAATACCACAGATTTTTGCCGGGCATTGGTGGCGCATGCCTTTAATCCTAGCATTCAGGAAGCAGAGGCAGGCAGATCTCTGTGAGTTCGAGGCCAGCCTGGTCTCCAGAGCGAGTGCCAGGATAGGCTCCAAAGCTGCACAGAGAAACCCTGTCTCGAAAAACCAATAATAATAATAAAAAAGGCCTCCTTACATTCTGAACACAGATGGTAGCACCTGTTCTGATCCATATGCTTTTCTTTCTTCCTTTTGTCTCATTATTCTGTTGTCATAGCTCAGCTGCTACAATAGACTTATGCCAAGTTTGGCGGCACAGGCCTCTAGTCCTTGTATCTGAGTGATTGAGACAGGAAGATCACAGAACTTGGGTTTTTATAAATCCCACAACTAGCTGGGCAAAACAGCAAGACCCTTGCTGAAGGGTGGACAGAGAAAAAAATAGAGGGAGGAGGAGAGAGGTTAGTCTGTTTTCTGTCGGGAGCTGAGAAAAATTCCATTACAGAATTTCTCAGGTCCAAACCTCCAGGGCTCAGGTCTTCGGTCTGCGTTGTATTGCAGATGCTAGCTGATTTGCTGTTGAATGGTATAGCCTTGGTGGAGAATGTCCCCTAGCTTTGCATCTCTACAGAACTAAGCATTTGAATAGGCCTGCACCAGGGCAGAGGGCAAGGTCTATGTGAGGACAGATGGTTCCGAGGTATCTGCTGAGAAGGCCTAGGGAGAGGTTCTTGGAAACAGTCTCTGCTATCACCAGAGTATGGTTAGAAAGCAGCCAGGAAGATGCTGAATAAAGGAGAGACTTCAGTTTTGCAGCATCTCTAAAGATGACAAGATGCCTGTGTCTGGTCTTTATCGCTGTTGGGTTGCTAGGAATTTCCAAGTCCACACTCCCCACTCAGGCCGGACCTTGTGGCTTCTGTGGTTTGGGACTGAAACATGCCTAGCCACGACAGTTTTCTCACTGTTCCAGAGGTAGAGATGTCTGCAGTCAGGGTTCGCATGGTATTCTTGGAGAAGGCCGACTCCCTCCTCTGTTTTTGTATGGTATGTATATAGGAAGGTATATTGTCACCTTGTGTTATAAGGCCACTAATCCCATTACACAGCTCAACATTTATGATCTCATCAAATCCTAATTACTTCCCAATACACAGAGGCAAGGTTTTCAATATGAATTTGAGACAGAAACAAATCAGTTCATTACACACAGACAGAACTTCCAGCACAATACCATGATTGCAATTGTATCTAACTAATAACCAATTGTAACCTCAGTGTATCCACACTGTGGCTAATGAATCATTTCTTTTGGGAAGCACTTCAGAGCTCAACTTGAAGGGACCAGCTCCCCATTTCGGCAGCCATGACAGTAACACATGCTCGCCATGACCTTGTCCTAGTCACTAGAAGTCAGATGCCTGCCTTGTGGCAAGGAACCAATCAGAAGTTAGCTGGTGGCACTATGCTTTATGGATCTGGGTGTGCTTTATGGACAAGTACACAGCAATGATGTGCAGAGCATAGCAACCACCCTGGGAGGGCCTATGGGCCATAACAACCAGTTGACCAATCAACACAGGGCAAGCCCTCCAAGCCTGGAGGCACACCAATCCTGAGCCTGTGGGTACCCCTAGACACTCCCCTTACGCTGCCCTACAAGATCTCTCTGCAGCCCCTTCGAGCTGTCTTTGCTAGCTATCCACCATGGCGGGTGGGTGAAAGACCCGAGCTAACATGAGGTTAGCTCGTTAAACAACAATAAAGCCTCATGCAGTTTGCAGCAAGCTTTCGAATCCGCCTGGTGATTGGGGTGACCGAGGTCCTGGGCTGGGACCCCGGATACCTGAGTTTTCTGGGGATCTAACAAACTTTTACTTGACTTTTTAAAATTTGTTTTTCTGATTTGCTTCTCTTGCTATAATTTTTAATATTAATTCAATTGCTGGAAAATGTTTTTACTATGAAAGGGTATTGGCTTTGTTAAATGAGGTTTTTTTTTTCCCTTTTTTATCTATTGAGATAATTATGGAGTCTCTGTTTCTTATTCTATTGTTACAATGTTTTACATTAATTGGCTTTTTTATATATGAAACTAATATTATATACTATTTTGACACAAAAGTTGTTTTATAGGTTGCTAATATTTTGTTTAAAATTTTGCATCCATAATGATAGAATTAGTTCTTTGCTGAGTATAGCTTGCCCTGATGATTTGTGTGTGTGTGTGTGTGTGTGTGTGTGTGTGTGTGTGTGTGTGTGTGTGCAATTCCTAGAAAGCACATTACCTTCTGTTCCAAGTGTAAGGGTACACTAATTGCACACCTCAGTGCATCCACACCATAGCTAATGAATCATTTTTGGGGGTGAGTTCTTCAGAGCTCAACTTTTACTTGATTTTTATTTATTTTCTGATTTGCCTTTCTCACAGGGTAAAATCTCTGAGGTAGAGCTCTGGATCTGGAGATGTAACCATCATAGGCACTGGCGGACACTGTCAGGAGACAACACTTTGTGGCGGGCACAAGGAGCTATAGGTCTTTTCCACTCATCTCTTCCTATGTACAACCTCCATCAAATGAATAGGCAAGCAGGGTCAGGGCCCAAATTCCTGGTAGTTGCATGTCTAAGATAAAGCCTATTGTGAGTAGGGCTGGACAAAAAGGAACCCACTTCTTGACTGTGTCTGGAATTTGACCTCAGCAGCTATAGTGGGGAAGAGAATAAAGAATGATGTCCTAGTCTCTAGGGAAACAAACATATCCTTTAACTGGGAGCAGAGGAGGAGGGCGAGCCCTGAATTCTTGGTTGTACCACTCTAATGGAGTTCCCATCTTGCTGAGAAAGCAGACAACAGGATGAGTTTCAAATACTGGCTTCTTGTTATTCTTTAATAATGGCTTTTAGTGGTTTTTTCTAAACCAATGTTTCCTTATAGCTATATGCCTTAGGGTTATAGCCTTTCAAGATAATTTTTAAAAATCATTTTTGTTGGCACAACACATGCCCAAACTCCTTTTATTCTTGTCAAATGCTAGACAGACCTGAAACCCAAAATAGGCTTGTAACATTCAATTTTTTACATTGTGTTCAATCAAGGATACTTCAAAATGTGATAAGAACGAGTACTAAGTATTTTTTAAAAGTCCTCTATTTGAAGACTCTCAGAATTCCCACAGGTTAGGTTTGATTCAAATGAAGTACATATGTCAGCAAACGAAGCAACATGCCACCTACAAATTACTCTTCTTGTAACACTAACTCTTCTTGGAGTTAGTACTAAAGTGGTAATTCTTATACTTGAACTGGGCATAAAAAACACACCACAAAGTATTTACCAACTCTGCTAGAGCAGATTACATACACTGGCTATCCCATAGATCAGCTGTTGTACAGTAACTATACAACATTTTCAATTGTCCCCTCTTCAGCTGGCAAAAGGAAGTCAGCTCTTCTAGATTACACTACCTCATCATACAGCCACAATTATAAATGCCTTGCAATTGTCATTAACACATTATCAACAGCTAGAACGTCACACCATTTATCAGTTCAGCTATTTTACACTTTCCAATCTTTAAGGTTTATTCATGAAAATGCCTTACCATACTAGACTCATACCCCAGGGAAAACAAGCATGGCTTTTCTTCTAGAATTGCTTTCTTCCACTGGTCTTCAGACACCAAACCAATGTACCAGTTACTCTCATATTCTCTGAGGCAGCTGGTCAGTTCTTTGAAGTCTTCTATTGGACCCAAACTTGCTTTATCAACCATTAGTTTCAGTGTATACCTAAAAAATGGAAACCCAAACAATTTCAGAATATTTTATAATAAACTTTAAAGATGGAATGATGGGAGAAGTCTTCTGTACATGTTTCTCTTTTTGGCTGATGGACAAAACACTGTTGGCCAATAGGGAAGCAAGATAGGCGGGACTAGGAGACAAGGAGGATTCTGGGAGCTGTAGGCACAGGGTCACAATGTAGGATGCAAGAGGAGTAACATTTCTCCGAACATTTCTCTGGTAAGAGAAGACCACGTGGAATTACTTAGACTGATAGAAATGGGTTGGAAATTAAGTCAGCTAGCCAATAAGAAGCCCCAGACACTGGCCAACAGTTTCATAATTAATATAGTGTCTCATGTGTTATTTGGGGGCTCTGAGGTGGCTGCAGAACCTGGTGGGGATCCCAAAAAAATGGAAGGTATTTGCTGATTATTTTTAAGACTCTGAAGTGGAAGCATCCCATGTCAAGTCAACTCCAGTGGTACATGTGTAATAGCCAGCCCAGAATAGGTGGGATCCTGCACAGTGACTAGGTCATCTCTGGCTCTCCACAATGAGTTCCAGGTTAGCCTGGGATCTTGTCTCAAGTGAAATAATCCATTTCAGGTAAAAACAAAGGGAAATGGGGCTGGAGATATAGCTCAGCTGCTGTGTACTTGCTTAGCATGTTTAAGCCTTGGGTTGAAATCCCAGCACCATGGAAACAAGGTGGTGGTATCTCATGCCTCACACACTGGAAGTGGAGGCAGGATATTTAGGTTCCATTTTCAATACCGAGAGAAAAAAACAACCAATCAAAAAAATCCAAAAAGCAAACAAAACAAAAACAAACCCAAAACTTTAAACACAAATAAAATGAGGGAGAAATGAAAAAGCAGCTAAAATGAAGAAATACAATGAGTTATATTTAAAAAAAAACTTCTATACACCCAGGTAGTTGTGGCACACAACTTTTAATCCCAGCACTGGGAGGCAGAGACAGGTGGATCTCTGTGAGTTCCAGGACAGCAAGGGCTACATGGAGAAACCCTACCTCAAAAAAGACAAAACAAAAGCAAAAAACCTCTACACAAATAAAATAAAATATGTAGAAATTAAACTGTTTCCAATTCAGTCATACTATAGACCAAGCATTTTATTTTTATGAAAGCAATAAAAATTATAAATTAAAGAATCTTCTAGTGATTGAAAAAAAAAAAGAACAACTTGTGTATAATTAAAACGACTTACCTGAATGCTTTCCGAACTAGTTGGAACAGTTCTGGTTTTTCTGAGAGCCAATCCAAGGTGCCAGAGCAGGGTAAGCCACCATTGTAGACTCTTACTATCTGACCAGGACTAGGCAACACATTGTCTGATCCAAATAAACCAATATAACAAGCCATTACTGTATGGACATACAAGGCTTTCAGAGCTTTATCCTTGGCAATTTCTTCCAGTACACCTGATTTCTCTTTTGAGTGAAAACATTCCAACTGCCTTAAAACAAACTGATACCAGTCTTCTGGAAACAAGGGGCTTGCCTCCCTTATTCTGGAACGGGGTGTACAGTTAGACCTCCATTCTTCGGGTAAACTCAGCAAGTGTGACTGCGAACAACTGAACTCCACGAGAGGGATGTATGCCACATCTTCTCGATTGCCCCTGTCAACAGCAGGGAATCCCAACAAAACCGTCCTGTAAAGATCATTTTTGGAAGCTGTGTTTGTAGAATGATCGTCTTCACTCTGGGAGTCTACTGACCCTGGAATAGGCAAATTTGTACTTGGTAGATCTTTGAACTGAAGTTTTTCTTTTCTGTTTTTGATAGCTGGTTCATCATCAAAAATACTACTATCAGACCAGTCATGGAAAGTGTCAGAATTTAGACTCTCTGAGTCCTCCAGGAATTTGGGGCACGGCGAAGTGTTCAAGGCAGGTAGGGCCACCGGTGAGGCCTCTCTGTTGTTTTCAGCTTTGTGAATATTCTCTTGTGGGCTGGGCCTTCTAGAACAGTACTGAAGAAGCACCCACACAAGCACTTTAACAAGGTCATCTTTAAATTCCTTCAAGTTTTCATGAGAATCAATTATGCCAGACAGGACACTCCTGGCATCAGAGTAGAGTTTCACGGGCAAAACAGTGCATGGTGTCAAGATATTCCCCATGTGCTCATTAAGGGAGCACATTTGTAGGTGTTCCTGCTGAAAAGCACTTTCAAACACTTCGTCTACTCTCTGGGCTTCGGCAGTGTGGCAGGACGTTTCCTGCAATTCTAACCCCTAAAGAGGAAAGAGAAGCACTCAGGTTCATGACTGTCTCTTACCCAGGGAACAGAATCCAGTCTCATGAGTGCAATGGAGTCTCATCATACAGATAAAGGAAAAGAAAAAGCAAACTCCAAGTTAAGAAGAGCTATCACTTAAACTTTTTATCATCTAATACATTTGATGATGGATAAAGACATTAAAAGTAAGGCTCCTACTATTTTAAAAGAAATTAGAGAAAATTCCACAAGAAGTTGGTTACTGAGTATGCCCATACTTTCATAAGACTATCTGCTGTCAAGGTTGAATCACACATTAAAAATTTCTAAGTCAATATATGCCATCCTATAGCCTTCACCCAGCAGCTGGTAGAAGTGGAAGCTGACACCCACAGCTAAACACTGAGCTGAACTGGAATCCAGATGCAGAGAAGGAGGACTGATGAGCAAAGGAGTCAAGACTAGGCTGGTGAAACACACAGAAACAGCTAACCTAAACAAGGGAGAACTCTTGGTTTCCAGACTAATAGCTGGGAAACCAGCATGGGACTGATCCAGACCCCAGGAACATGGGTGTCAGTGAGAAGACCTTGGAAATCTATGGGGCCTTTTATAGTAGATTAGTACTTATCCCTAGCATAGGAATAGACTTTGGGAGCCCACTCCACATAGAGGGATACTCCCCGAACCTAGACACAAGGGGGTGGGCCTAGGCCCTATCCCAAAGGATGTGACAGACTCTGAAGACCCCCTATGGAAGGCCTCACCCTCCCCGGGGATCAGAAAGTGTATGGGATAGGTAGGGTGTTAGTTGGGAGGAGGGGAGTAGGGAAAGAGGGGAGGCAGAGGGAACTGGGATTGACATGTAAAATAATCTTGTTTCTAATTTAAATAAAAAATGGAGAGAAAAAAATTTCTAAGTCAGACTTACTTAGTAGGGGAGAAGGGGGAAGTAAAATCAGAACTGTAAAGTATGTTGCAATAGTTCTGTATTCCTTTTTTTAAAAATTAGAAACAACCTTATTTTATATATCAATCCCAGTTCCCTCTCCCTCCCATCCTCCCATGGCCCCCACCTACCTCATCCTATCCCTCTTCTGCTCCACAGAAAGGGTGAGTCCTTCCATGGGAGAATCATCGAAGTCTGTCACATCATTTGGGGCAGTGCCTAGGCCCTTCTCAGTGTGTCTAGGCTGAGAGAGTATTTCTCTATGGGGAATGGCCTCCCAATGTCCATTCATACACTAGGTATAAATACTGTTCCACTACCAGAGGCCCTATAGACTGCCCAGGTCTCCTAACTGACACCCACGTTCAGGGGGCTTGATTCTGCCCCAGCTGTCAGTCTGGGGTCCATGAGCTCCTCCTTGTTCAGGCCAGCTGTTTCTAGTTCTGTATTCTTTTCACCTTACTTTTTTTTTTAAAAAATGAGACTACGATAATTATTCTAATGTATGGAAGTACCATAATTTATCAAATCATATTCTTATTTTATTTTTAATAACATTTATTTAATTACTGTCTGTCTCAACACAGTTGCAGCATAAATTTCACAGAGCAGCTGTCTTTGGTTATGACTGTATTCCCAATGTCTAACCAGTACCTATAGACAGATGATATGCACAAGTAAGTGTTGAATGACTATGTTCCTGTATCAATTTTAGACACATTGATGACTTCTTGAAGAGGACATATCACTTCACTCTTCCCTATTAGAGTTGTTAACTTATTTATGTATATTTTGTATAACTTATTATGTATATTTTGTAACCCATTTTTAAGCCATTGCTCCACACCACACCATTGCTACACATAATCTCAAGATCTTCCGTCTTCTCTGAGGCTCCTATTATTTCAGAGGAAAAAAATCAAATCTAGAAGACAAATGAGTGTGGAGTGCTCAACCCTAAGTGGGCATCTATGTCACATAGCTTACAAATATCAGCAAGGCAGAGCAGGAAGATTTTAGGAGCCTGAGGCTGGGGAGGACTGCTGCTAAGCAGTGTCTTCTGGATATGACAAAGCTTCTGCCCTCACAAATCCACAGAAGCTGTGGCTGCCTGCACAAGACCAAAGGGTCAACGTGGATAGTGTGGACAGAGGAGGGAAGGCCTCATGATGCCTCATCCCTAGCTTAGGAGCTTTTGCAATTGATGACTGCCAGGGGAGGGGAGTCAGCTTTCTTCAGGGTGTGGCCCACTTAGGTTGTCAATGCTCTAGCAGGTGGCCCCACACTCGAACACATTCAGCACACTAGCAGCACTGATTGGGCTCAGTGATTTATAAAAAAATAAAAACCACAAACCATGATGCTGGCTGGGGACCTAGATGGAGGAGGGTCTGCAAAGGAGTTGGAAGATGGAGTGGGCATAGATATGATCTAAATACATTGTCTGCCTGTATCAAGTTACCAAAGAACAACAACAACAAAAAATTATAGTAAGTAGGTTTATGAAGATTAAGTTTTGTAAATTTCAAAGTATTACAAATGTGAATAAGTGGTAAATCCTAAGCAGTTTTGTAAAAACAAAAAACAAACAAACAAACCCCACAAATGGGTACCTATAAATAGCGTGTAAATCATGCAACACCATTAAAAGGGTTTATGTCATTGGGTAATAGTAAACCATACGATTTAAAAATGAAATAAAGCAAAAATACTCATGATAGTCTACATGTATCTTCTTTCCTTCTCAGACTTGTACAGGTGACCCTAGAGCAAACTTTAGGTGACTCAGAATGGCATGAGGACACCTTAAAGTATAGCAATGGCCTTCCCCGAAACACCCAGTTTCTGATTTGGGAGGTCCACGGTGGAACTCAGGCATTTCCATTTGCAGTTAATGCAACTAAACTGGGGACTCAATTGTAAGAAACACTGTTGCACAGGGACAGATTTTTGGTCACCAGTACTTTCATCCAGTCTCTGTTAAGACAAGGAATGTAGCTACTCACTATAGACTCAGGACTATTTATTACAGGTCTGCTCTGGGTCCCCATGACATTACATTAATGAGGGTCACTGACAATCAACAAAAAGCAACCATTTATTTAGTTTTTAGAAGGTGTAAGTGCTGGCAAGGCAAGGGCTAGGACTAGTGGGATGGGAGAGGCTGTAGTTTTAAACACAATGGCTGTAACACCTAGGAGAAGACCCTGGAGTACAGACTTGAAGTTGTAGGGATTTAGCCACATGACTGATTATCCGAAGGGAGAGGAAACAGCCGGCAGGCTGGAATAGAAGTTAAAGCAGCCTGACTAGGGCCATGGCTTTAAATGAAAGAGAGCCACTAGAGCAGTGGTTCTCAACCTTCCTGATGCTGCAACCCTTTAATACAGTTCCTTATGTTGTGCTGACCCCTAACCATAACATTTTGTTGCTGCTTCATAACCGTGATTTTGCTTCTGTTATGAATAGGAATGTAAATATCTGACATGCAGGATATCTGGTCTGCAACCCCCAAAGGGTCACAACAGATTGAGAACCACTGCACTAAAGGGTTTCTGATAGAGAAGTGACCTGACCTGACCTCATTTTGGCTGATAATAGATAAAGAGGCTACTAAAATCATCTGCGGTGGGTAAGGAATGAAGATGACCAGGTTGGTGAAAAGTGATGGAGACAGATACAGTCTAACAGGATAAAGAGTCCCTGCAGACTGAATGTGGGGAGCACAGAGATATGCCCTACTTTTGATCCAAACAACCAGAAGGACAGGGGTCTCGGAGGACTGCTGGGCTCTGGGACTCTGAACAAGAGTATCATGTCAACAGCTGCTGACTAGCCAAGTGGGACGGGTCTGAGGACAAAGACAGGAGTTAGCAAGGTGAGAGTCACTGAGGACTTTGACAAGTACAGGTCTGGTGACAGAGCCAAAAACCTGAGGAAGGTGAGGACAGATGGGAAGAATGAAACTGGAGATTTGGAGTAAACCATTCTAATAAGGTACGTGGCCCTTAAAAGAAGGAAGAATGGTGCACAGCATGTAGAGATGTTTTTTAGTGAACCAAAAATGTTTATATGATAAACGGGAATTTAAGAAATTACTAATTCACATTTTTTGAGATGCTCAACTATACATGGGTGACAAGAGCAAGACTAGGAGATGTGGCTATAGAGATGCATAGCAGTTAAGAGCACTTGCTGTTCTTCCAGAGGACGCAGGTTCGATTCCTGGTGCCCACATGGTAGCTTATAACATCTGTAACTCCAGTTCCAGGGGATCTGATGCCCTCTTCTGACCTCCATAAGCAACATGCAGGCAAAACACCCATAAGCACAATAAAATAATAAATTTTTAAAAAGACTAGAAAGTAATGTGGGTCTTGTTACCATGTTCTAGTATGCAATCAGCATGAATCATCTATCAATATGTGCTGAATGAAATATACCTCTAAAAATCATTAGGTGTTTTCCTCAACTAAGATGTGCTTCCTTCAAGCTAAGTAATTGATGTGTACATAACAGGTGAAATTGTACATATGCTCTATAAAAACCACTGGGGAAGGTTCAAGTGTTACTGACCTTAACATTAATGCAGCAGTAAGGATAGCCACGCTCTAGGACCATTATCCATATTAGACGATCCTCAAAACGGCCCAAGTAATGAGAGCCAGGGAGGAGGAGACCTAAAAGTAATTAGAAAAGGGAGGGGGAAAAGTAAGATATTAACTCTCCAAGCTTGTTTTATTTTGTCTTATAAATATTTGAAATGAAATATCTAGAACCCTATTTCAATGAGTTTGCCCATCATTAGGTCAAGAACAGAAAAGAGAGCCCACTTCGTATCAAGGGACTCTGAGTGGGCCCTTGGTGAGGGTCTTTGACTGGCGTTCACCGTTTATGTAAACAGTACACCTTTTACAGGTCTCTGTACTAGGATGTACTAGGCAGGGTGAACCACATAAGCAGCTGGCTTCCCTCTTCATGGAGGGAACCTACAGTATCCATTTGGTGGAAATTCATTATAAGTTCATGGAAATTATGAACAGAAAGGTGTTTGTAGGCTTCAATGGTAAGCCTGCCATCTGCGTTTATTTAAGCAAATGTTTTCCTTTTTAAGCTGTCAAATCACCCTATGAAATTTTCCCTGGGAATTTATTTTAAAAATAAATTTTAAAATTTTTTTATTTTAAATAAGCAGCAGAGATATAATTCTATTTCACATTTAGTTTCTGCCTATATATCAAAGTATTGGAACCTGGATCACAAGTTTTTTTTTGTTTTCTTTTTGTTTTGGTACCTCAACTAGATCAGTAAGAACTTTTTTGAGTACAGCCCACCACTCACCTAAACTTCCAGCTGCCATCGCAGTCTGCAGTGCTGTGGTCAACCTGGGGACCATCTGGTGGTAGAACACTGTGTCTGTGCACACGCAAGCCGAAGTGCCCACTGCCCCTGGCCAGCTCTGAACTGGACGAGGAAACCCCACCAAGAAAACAGGAAGAGTAAAGAGGGGCAGTAAAGGAGCCGAGAGCAGGGCTGAAAACACTATGATAACCAATACACAGGGGGCGAATACAGTGTTGAGCACACACAAAGTTGTTGTTGTTTTTCTATGCTGCTTTTTTTCTGTCCATGATGCCAAAAGTACAGTCATAGCAAACTGTAATTTAGTGATGAACTGAAGCAAACGGTCTCGCATGATACCAATCTGTGGATACACAAAAATGATTATTTACCTTAGCAAGTGCCTTATGAATTTTCAAAAAACACATAAGGAAAAAAAAACATAATTATATTACTGCCTTAGTATTTTGAGGGAACAGCCCTAGCATGCAATTTCTTGTTATAATTTTCTGCAACCTCAAAATTAATAAACAAGAATCTACATTTATAAGTGTCTTAGAGTTTCTATTGGTATTAAGAGACGCCATGGCCATAGTTACTCACGTACACACATGCATATATATAATATTTAATTGTGGCTGGCTTACAGGTTCAGAGGTTTAGTCCGTTATCATCATGGCAGCATGAAGGCAGACATGGTGCTGGAGAAGGAGCCAAGAGTTCTACATCCAGATTGGCAGGCAGCAGGAAGAGAGTGAGACACTGGGCCTGACTTGAATATCTGAGACCTCAAAACCCACCCCCAGCGACACACCTACCCCAAAAGACCACACCTCCTAATAGTGCCACTCCTATGGGCCTATAGGGACCATTTTCATTAAGACCACAATAAGTTTTGTCTTTTTGACTTTATTTATTTATTTTTTTTGAGGCAGGATCATATGTAGCCCAGGCTGGCCTTAAACTTGCTATGTAGTTGAAGATGACCTTGAATTCCTGATCCTCTTGGCCTCCATCTCCTGAGAGGTTAGGAATACAGACCCCTGCTGACACTGGCAGGTTCTGTAGGATCTTTCAATGCAAACTTATCACTCCACCAAGTAGGCCACATACTCAACCCAAGCTTACTTTTTCTAAAACCAACAATAACAACAACAAAAACAAAATAAAAAAATCAAGACAAAAGATAACAAAATTATACTATACCACTTAAATCTTATTAGTAAATCACAAGCTATTAAATTGGGTGACTAGGATAAACTCTAGGAAAACACACTTATTGAAGCTAACTGAAGAAGGAAAAAAAGACTAGATTGATATTGAATTAGACTACATTGAATTCACTAAGATTAAATTATGTTCAAAGTATAGGTTTGCTAGAGATACATCATTTCTAAAATGTACTGCAATGATTAAATTTATGACTCAATATTATATATTCAGCTAAGTAGTACTTTGTGTTACTGCAATTTTTCTTCTTTTCAATTAATTAATTTTTCTTTTTCACAATTTCAAACATGTATACAATGCATTCTGGTTACACAGCCACAATCCTCTCTCATCTCCCCCGACCTCAGCGGCCTCCATTCTTCCCCCCACATTCATGACTTTTTTTTAAACCTGAGTTTAATCTGGGACATCTGTGTGGTGCTGAGTTTAGAACTGTTCACTGGAGCCCAATGGGCTTGCCAGTGGGCACACAACTGAAAATAATGACTCCCCAAACTACTCACATAGAACAGCTAAGATATGGATGCCTTCAATATTATGAAATGCTATAAACTATAAAACACTTAAATATTAACATTTACTGGCTATTATAAAACATTAGGAATGACCAATACCAATTTTTTTGCCAGCTCTTCCAGAGAACATAAGTGCATGGGATACTTTTAAATTCATTTTCTGTGGTCCTGATATGTAAACCAGACACTATCACAAGGAGAGGTTGCTACAAATACACATATACACATGGCTTAGACACATATCTTGAGAATACAAATAACAGATATTAGCCAACTCAATACCACCACAACATATGAAAAGTGTTGGCCTGAATGGCCAAGTAGGTCATTAGGAATAATAATCAAAACTCAACACACTGCACTATGTTAATAAACACAGAAAAAAAAAGAAACAATAAACTCTAGTACCCTTCATGATAAAACACTTACTGAGCCATGATGGGCATTTTATAAGACAGAGAACATCTATGCAGAATGTTTACTGTTAAAAGGCTGGCATATTAATGAAGGTTGAACACTTCCCTCATGAAATGCCTGCTTTTTCTCTTCAAGTGAACATTTTCCTGCTTTTCAACATGAAACAAAACAACAGCAAAACAACAACAAAATCACAGCAAGACGGCATCATAAAAATGTCAGGTAACAAGTGTTGATGAGAATGTGGACCAGCTGAGAAAACCTCATACACTGCTAACAGTATATTTCCAAAATGGTATAGTCAGGCCAGAAAGCAATGTGCCAGTAGCCTGAAGCGTGAAACACTGATGACCAGATTTCTACATATCTACCCATCCATCCATCCATCCATCCATCCATCCATCCATCCATCCATCCATCCATCTCCATGGGAAATAAAAAACACATCTGTACAAAAATATGTACACAAATGCTCACAGTAACATTCCTGTCAACAGTGAAAAGTAGAAACCTAAATACCTATCATCTGATGGGTGTATGAACCAAACACGGTAAATGGGCACACTGGAATTCACTTGATAACAGAAGTACTGATCCATGCTATAGGAATGAACCTTGAGAGCATATTAAAAAGTTGAAGAAAACAGGGGCAAAGGACTACATGTTCTATGACACCACTCAGGTAATTCAACCAGAAGATACAAATCTACTCAGAGAAAGGGAGGTTCGTGGTGGCTGGGTCTGGAATAGGTACAGATGATGGGGAGGGTGGGACGGGGATTGACTGTTAATGTATACAGCTGAAATGTTGAAAAAGTTAGATTGCAATGATGCCACACTACTCTGAAGATATGACAATGAATAAAAAGCCTTCAAAAGGTTGAGTTTTATTGTGTGTAAAAAGAAAAAAAAATCTCTCAACAGAGCTGTAAAAATATACTTACCAGTAACAGTCTGGTTCCTGTATCAAGGCTCCTGTTCCACCAGCAATCTGTGTTGGATACCACATGCACTGCCGAAACAATTACCGTCTCTAGTAAAGCATTTTCTGTGCTCTGCCACACCTACAGAAATAAATTATCCACCTCTGTTGGGTTGAATTTGATAATCTAAGCAAACTGTTAAATAAAAACCACGAAGTGCTGCACAATGCATTCTGGGATTACCGTTCTGAAGGCCCTGGCGAATCCAATGGAGACAGACACAGAGTGTAGCCCATGTAAAGAGCTATCCAGTGCAAGGAAGGCCACCATAGCCAAGGGCGACACTAAAGCAAGACAGACAAAACAGAAGTGAGTTTGATTACTGTGGAAACCTCTCCTGTCACAGTTTATCTTGGTAAATAGCTTTCCAGAGCACATGTAAGCAATTAACTGAAAAACTAATAAGCAACAACAAAAACAAAAATCAAGCATAAAGAGCATTAGGTAAACTACACACCAATGAGGATTCTTTCCTGACTACCATTTGTAAGAGCCAGGAGATGGTAACCTCCTACCTATAGTTAGCAAGATCCATCTGACAACCCCAATCTTCAAGAGCTTGTTCTGCTTTTCAAAGAATTCAGACACAGCTTGTACATCCTTTGGATAGAAAGGGTTTCGGAAAATTCCAAAGATGTAGATGCTCTGAGTTTCTCTCAGTATACACAGTACTGAAAGTAATGCCGTCAGAACATAGCCCAGGGCGGACTGAGAGCTGCTTCCAGAAACCTTTGAGAAGCCAGAGTAGTGATGCAGCAGCCCCGCCTCCAGGAGAGCCACGCCCAGCATAATGGTACACAGAAGGCAGTCCCTCCTCCTGAACCCATGTCCAAAGCTGCCTGGGAAAGTCTCATGGCTGCTTCCCACTCTGTGCCTGGCCACACTGTGCCTGAAGGCCAAGCTCACGTCACTTAGGTTAAGACTCAGTAAGAATCCAAGTCCAGTCATGAAAAGAACTACACCAACGGTGCTGGGAATGAAGTAGGAGACAACAGGTGTTCCGGCAGAAATGATGAACATTACCAATAACCTGTAAGGGAAAAGAAGACAGAAGATTTACTTGAAAGGAAAGCTGTTCTTTAAGCAGTTACATCAGACCAACAGGATGGCTCACTGGGTATGGGTACTTACTGCCATTGACCTGCACCCCAGCTGTGGAGCCCATGTGGCAGAAGGAGAAAACTGACTACTGCAAGTGCCATGGTAGGACAAGAGCATTTAACCCCCCCCACACACACTAAATAAGTAATGAAAAAGTGAAAACAGAAGTTTCACCAAACTTCAAAACTCAAAACAGAACAACTTACCGTAGGTGAGTTGACATGGATGAGCCTCCAAGACCAAACTCTAAAACCTGTTCCACTGCCCAAAAGAAGAGAGCGTCAGGTGGGGGCAGGGTCCCGAGTGCCCACAGGAGAGGCAGGAACACAAACAGGATGTGCAAAATCTGATTCATGTGCTCTAGAGCTGGGACATTTACAATAAACCTGAAAGAGGAAACACTTAAATCATACCAGGTACTAAATGGACCCACCAAATAGCACATACCACAAAAAAGCAAGCTTACAGGAAAGGCTCTACTCCCAGATATCTGTGTGTACTGTGACCACTGCCCTAAACCAGCAAGTAACTCAGCTGTGCACAAACTTTATAGATATGTGGATTCAAATATGCAAAGAAAGAAACTAATGTAGCCACCTGTAACAATGAATGCAGAGATTTAAAAAAAAAAAAACAAAAAAACTGAATAGATGAGGCAGGGACACATCACATTTTCCCCCAAATCTACATTGGCTGAAATCCTACCAATGATTCTTTAGACTTTAGAACTGCAAGTAACTTTGGAAGGCCAAAGCTTTAGTAACATGCATTTCTTAGCAGCTCCCTGCTGCTCTGTCACTGTCCTTCTCACAGACCTCAGAATTTGAAGTTCACTATAGATGATAGCCCTGCGCAGCTTAGGTTATGACAGGTCCCTGGGAACTTAATTACCATTAATAATAATACTCTTCTATCTTCGACCAGCAATGTTAGGGGTTTAAGACATATTTGTATAATACAGTTTCCTCAGAACAGGCAGCCCCTCTTTAAATGTAGTTAGAAACTGCTACTCAACTCAGTAAAAACATTTGGAGTTCAACATAACAAAACAGACTTAAAGGGTTTAATAAAAATTTAAGACACAGGAAAGCATTCTTAACCTACTGCTAATTTTTCGGAGTAAACTTAATCAAACACTATGGGCTAATAATGTGACAGTACTAACAGAGACTTTGAAGAGAAAAACACCAAGACCCAGACTTACAGCAGAATTGCACTTGAACACCTGAGCTGTTGAGAATCAAGGACAACTGCCATACTTCAGCTCTAAGAGTTTACAGTCTAAATGCAAGCACACATTAACTGCGGCTAAAACAATGACCTACACGTATTTGCTCATGGGCACGTCTGGTCTACACCAGTCACCACACTGCTTCACACTGTATGCCCTTTCAAATTGTTGCAAGCAGGGAACAAATGAGCACAGGGTTCATATGTGGTGATAAATTAAAGGCCACTCTTTCTAGTAGTGGAATTTAAAATAAAATATGCTCCATTCTGAAAAGGAATGTCCAATTAACAAAAAGAACCAAGCAACACATAGCAACCTCCAGGTGGTAAAGGACAACAAGTTAGTCTGTTCTCAAGACAACCTTCCTCTTGAAAATATACTCAAAAGCAGAATTGCATGAGAATTGCAAGTTCAGGAAGTGTTTTACAAAATAAAACTCTATTTTGAAATCTTTTTCTTCTAAATAAGCAACATCTTAGTAATAGTATTTATCAGATATTAAAACAAATATAAGGATATTATGTAAGTAAATATAAACATATAGTTAAATTAGCCAAATACTGGTTATTTTGGTTCATATATAACTTGACCTCCAAAAGATGATTACTGTAGTTAATTACTTTATATGGAAAAATATTTAATATTTCTGATAACATAACAAAAATTTCCTAGGATTAAAAAAATCAGGTGTTAAGAAAAAATGGTTTTGAAGTTAACAACTCTAAAAAATATTTCAAGTTCAATACATCTGAAGATCTACATGCCAAGAAATGAACCATGCCCATATGGTGGCTAAGAGGCTATAAGTGTATATCATTTCTGTAGATAAATCTCATCTCTGAGCTAAGCACTTGCTTTTCATAATATAAAATCCATAGAAAGCCATTTGTCCTTATCATAACACAACTGTACTCCATAGAGTGGGAGAGAGAAAAAGTTATGGGCTGCATCTCTTCAGCCTTCTTTGCTATCTTTAGAGATAAAACAAGAAACAGTTCAGTATTTCTGTTCTGAGTGGGAGAGCATACACACTTTAGCTGTGTCATACCTACTAATCAAAGACTTGATGTCTTTGTTATCTCTAACGTATTTTTCTAAAAATGAAATGAAAGGCTAACTGTCCAGCATTAAAACTGTCATTTTATTATTTAAAAACAACTGTGAGGTTTTCTTTGCCTCATGTTTTAGTCACAGATTAAAAAAAAAAAGCCTTGTAATTGTGAAACCTTTAGACATTAAAACAGTACATTAAATCCAACAAGAATTTAGTAAGACATATTTTATGTATTTTTAGTTATAGTAAACAATGCTGTTTTAAAGAAAATACAATGAAATAATGTAGGACTCTTTAAAATGCAGAGCTAGAGCATAGCAGGCATTAGTTCCTGGCTTCTGAAATTAAATAGTGGGATAGGAACTTCCACATTTGTATTCTGACTCAGGAGGTATTAATCCCATAGATGCAAGGAGCTTTATTTCAGAAGGTTTATAAGGTTGCCATTTCCTGGAACAGGCAGTATAGAACTATTTGTATTTAAGATTACAGGTAGGGCACAGTCCATTCCTTGAGTAACAGATTTACTCACAGAGAGGAATGAACCTAGTTTGCCTTTAGTATAATGGCTTCCAAGCCTAAGATGGAGGTGGGCTGGTTTACTAGACGCAGAGGCAGGAAGATTTCTGGGAGCTTGAGGTCAGCCTGGTCTACATAGCAAGGTCCAGGACAGCCAGGATTACTTTGAGAGACTGTCTCAAAAAACAAAAACAAAACAACAAAAATATATTCTGAAATTCTGAGTCTTATAAAACTTGGATTTGTAAAACAGGTTGTATACATGCATTCAATTTTATAGCTAACGTTTAAAAACCAAGCATTTAATTGTAACTTGCTAGTAAATGATTGTGCCAGAAACTAACTAAACTTCCCACGTAAGCTCCTCTTAAGTATCTGTTTAGATGAAGAACTGCGCAGGTCTCACACTGTTCTCTATAAATGTAGATTAACAGTTAAGGACATCTGAGGTCAATTTCAGCACACAAACTGTCCTTGTATTTTCAAATGTCCACTTAATTCAGTCTCTAATCACATGGGTGTCTTAAAATAATAGAAATTTATATTCTAAAAGTTGAGAAAGTTGAGGATGCTGGAAGTCCAAGATCACAATGAAAACGGAAATGAGAGCTCTTTCACACACTACAGATGAAGCAGCTCTGCTATGTCCCTTCTTCTAAGGGCCTCATTCCATCAGATTGAGGTTGCATGTTCCAACCTGGTCACCCTCAAAGGCCTTACTCCTAATTGCATTACATTTAGGGTTGCACAGCATACAACTTAGTCTATATTTCACACCTGCCCAGTCCACAACATAGATCCTTCTTGAATGAAAACATGAGGACATGACTGCTCCAAAGATAAGGAGAAGGTTTATTGTAGATATGAGGTATCTGGAATAGTCTAGACTAAACTGGGCCGCGAGAGGATGGGGAGAAGGAAGAGTGAGACAATAAGAGAGAAGAGAAGAGGAAGCCACAAGAGGAACCAGGAGCCAAGAGGCCAAGAGAACCAAGAGGGCATGTAGCCAAAATGGCTGGCTGAGTTATGTAGGGAAGAGATGCTGGGGCAAGGGGAATGAAGCTCAGGGCCTGGAGAGGTTTAGGGTAGGGAGCTGGGATATGCCAGCCAGGATGACTCTGAGGGTCTGGCAGCTTGCATCTGCTCTGATTTGTGAAATAGGCACCCCAGTTAGCCATTTGTCCTGAGTTTAAGACGTTACATTTCTCACAGACAAAAATACATCTTTGTCTCAATGGTTCCCAAAATCTTAACTTTTTCTAGCATTAATTCTAAAACCACCCCAAATGTGCCTAATCTTGTCTATGCACCATCTACATTAGCTATGGGTGACACTCAAGGTACAATCCACCCATTCCATTCCAACTGGAACCTGAAGAACTAAGTTGAGTGCTTTCCACACTGGATGGTGATACAGGCTAGGACAAACACTCTCAATACCAAATGGTGAAAGGGAAAAAGAATAGGTGACTGGGCCCAAGGAAGTTCAAATACAGCAAGACAAATTGCATCACCTTTTAGCCCTGGTTCTGTACTTTGTTGTCTCACACCCTGGAGTGGCTGTAACCTGCATAGCTTCAGGCAGAGATCATTCTCTGGGCTCTGAGGACTGACCCTGCCCACAAGGCTCTAGACAGAGGCCTGTAGCCAAAAGTTGCAATCACTCTGGCCATCATTCTCCCCTTTACTCCAACACTGCACATTCACAGTTGAATAACTGTCAATTGATACTTCAATCTAAGTTCAGTAGCTTTCCTTCAGTTCATTACCACGTTTCAAAGGAGCGGCTTCTAGAGGCGCAATCGTTATTGACTGACTGAGAGGCGCTGCAGCCTCTGCTAACCTTCTCTCAGAATCTGTCATAAAGCAGATCAGGAAGTTTCCAAATTTCAAGTTCTGGTTCTTTTATCGTGATTAACATTTTCTTCACCTCTCTCCTTCTGCATTTTAAAGTAAGCTGTCAGGATGAATAATGCTTCTTCTCATGTTTGTTTCAAAATTTCCTTTCTCAGATATCCCATTATATGACAAAACATGGGCAGTTGGCCAAGTTCTTTGCCAATTTATAAAAAAGAATTACTTTTCTTCTGGTTTTCAAGAATATATACCCCATTTCCATCTACAATCTCATCAGAATTAGGCTTTATGTCTCAATTTCGAGTCTGCACACCCCAAAACTTCCAGCTTCTAACAACCGCTCATTATATAACCTCCATTTTCTGCTTAGGTGTTTGTTGTAACTAACAACACTTCACTACCTTTGTCTGCCTGGACTGCTATAACAAAATATCATAGACTGTTCATAGAGCACAGAAATGTGCTCTCATACTTTTAGAGTTGGAAGTTAAAATCGGGGTGCCAGAGAGTCGGTGTGGTTCTTTCCTGGCTTATTGATGGTTACTGCTGTCTCTCATGGGATGGAGAGATCAAGCCCTCCCATGTATCTTTCAAAGGTTCTATCAGACCAAAGTTCACCTTCTTGACATTTTCATCTTTCAAAGGCACCTTCATGAGATGACATCACACAGTTTAGGGCTTTAGTAAATGAAGTTTTTCACACATAAATATTTGCTCCATCACATGTCTGTACATTTCTTCCTGTCCACTACTCTGGTAAAGAGAAAGCTTTGATCTACAGAAACAGAAACTAGATTTAGAAAAGACAAAAGGGGTATCAAGCAGTTTTGTAAACTGTTTCCTTTAAAATAGTACCCACTTTTTCCTTCTAGAACTAATCTAAAAACCATTATTCTGTCTACATTTTAGAGGTTTTTTGTTGTTGTTGTTTGTTTGGGTTTTTGGTTTTTCAAGACAGGGTTTCTCTGTGTCGCGTTGGAGCCTGTCCTGGAACTAGCTCTTATAGACCAGGCTGGTCTCAAACGCACAGAGATCCACCTGCCTCTGCCTCCTGAGTGCGGGGATTAAAGGCATGTGACCACCGCCCGGCTTACATTTTAGTGTTATTACAAAAATTATAAATTTCCTATTCATTAATTTTCTCTTTATAATAGTAAGTGTAGGGTAAAAGGGCAGCCAAAGGAACCCAGGCTGGCCCTGGAACCAGAGCCAGTGAAAGAAATATGTCCTGCCCCCCAAACTAGAGCCAAAAAGCTAAAAAAGACCAGTGAACAGAAACACAGTTTGGACTTGAAACCAGAGCCAACTCTGCCCCTGACCAACTGAAACATGAAACCAAACAATCCTGAGCATCCTCAACCTGAACCCAGAGCCAGTAAAAGAAATACACCCTGGATTTGAAACCTGAGCCAGTGAGAGAAACTTTATCCCTGAACCTAGAACCAAAGAAACACACCCTGACTCTGAAACCAGACCCAAAGAAACACACTTTGGCTTTAGAACCAGAGCCAGTGAAAGAAATATGCCTTAGCTCTGAAAAAAAGAGCAACAAAAGCTAAAAAAGGACCAGTGAAAGAAACACAGTTTGGCCCTGAAACCAGTCAACTCTGCCCCTGACCAGTTAACTAAACTAACCAATCTCTGAGCAGGATACCTCATTCAGTGTTCAGAGCTGTCCTATTGCCGCTCCAGGTATAGCTTTAGCCCTGATTTCCTGACAAGTCAGGGTACCTTTCCCTCCAGAGCTGTCCTACTGCAGCTCCAGCCTCCAGAGCTGTAACACTAACACTCACTTGCAGGAAGTGTATGAATCTTAAAATGTACTCTCCCTGCTTTAAAGTTTAACTTCTTTCTCAGGTTATCACATTAAAAAAAAAAATAGTCTTGATTTAAAGTGAAGCACAGGACTCAAAAAAATTATGTATCTTTCAAGACAGAATTTCTCTCTGTAGCCCTGGCTGTCCTGGAACTCTGCAGACCAGGTTGGACCCGAACTTAGAGATCCATCTGCCTCTAGAGTTGCGATTAAAGGCATGCACTACCACCACCCAGCAAAATTATGTTCCAGCACTTGGGAGGCAGAGGCAGGTGGATCTCTGTGAGTTTGAGCCCAGCCTGGTCTACAGAGCAAGTGACAGGACAGCCTCCAAAGTTATACAGAGTAACCCTATCTCCAAAACCAAAATAAAACAAAAGTATTTTTGTGGGCTAGAGAGATGGCTCAGCGGTTAAGAGCACTGACTGTTCTTCCAGAGGTCCTGAGTTCAATTCCCAGCAACCACATGGTGGCTCACAACCACCTTGAGTGAGATCTGGTGCCCTCTGCTGGCATGCAGGCAGAAGACTGTATATAATAATAATAATAACCTTTTTTTAAAAAAAGTATTTTTGTTATGTTTTGATTCTAAAGTAATTTTTAGCTACTTCTTTATAGTATGGATATTTTATAGAGATCATTCCTAAAGATTAATCATCAAAATAACCTAAACATCCCAATGATTTTGTCTAAAATTTTAATTCACTGACTCATCATTTGTAAACACTATGGAAAGTTCTCTTGCCAGGTACACTTAGAAACAAAGCAAGTTACTAAGTATTCTATAAGTTTTACCTGTGTGCAAGGTCCACAGAAACAAAGAAAAGAATATAAAGTGGTCGCATGAGAGGAGTGATTTCGTAAGTATCCTGGGTCTGAAATGTGGCAGTCTCTGTGGCGGTGTTTACAATCAGCGAGTATTCTCCTATGCAAAGTGTTATCCATCCAAAGACAAAAAGCACAGCTGTTGCCCCAGGGCTGCCATACAGCAAGGTTATTCTGTTTGGGAGCAGATACCATGTTCCAAGGCCACACACCAACCCAGCAAGAACAGAATGAAAAAATGTATTGGCTACGTATTTTTTGCCAGGAATCAGAAATTTGACAGTCTCAGCGCCAGTACAACTTGTAAATTCATGCTCGTCCTCCTCTGCTAAGATATCCCTGACTATCATCCTTTTGACCACCACCGATTTGCTCTTGGCGTACACACTTGTCAGCTGGATGACAGACGCAGTGATCACCATTAGTCCTCCGGAGAGAGCTGCTGCCAAGTAGTCCCTTAGGATGTCCAGCTGGTATAGAAGCGTTCCTGTTCCACCTAAGGCCCATGGCATCAGGAAAAGGACAATCTGATTAACATATATGTAAGGAGGAGCACAGTAGCCTAATCTGAGTCGAGGGCCTCCAAGAACAGTCTGTGGAAAGCGCTTCAGCAGGAAGTCCTGTTTGTAATCATTTAGCAGAGGAACATCTGGACTCATACTTCCCATTCAGGATTGCTGAAAGTCACATCTTTTTCATAACCAGCAGTATCTATGCAAAAGAAAAGACAAATTACTATGTGCAAAGATGACACTGAAGACCTGGAGGAGATACAGCAGCTCATATTTCTACTTGACTTCCTTAGTTCCTTTATAGGCAGGATTGTAACCTTGATTCCTTCTCAACCTTCACAATATAATTAGTACTAAGTTTATTCTCTTCCCAAAATAACCAAACTAACTTATTTTCTTAAGAAATGGTATTCTTGGGCTGTGAGGTGGTAGCAAATGTCTTAAATCCCAGCATTCAGGAGGCAGACACAGGTGAATCTGTGAGTTTGAGACCAGCCTGGTCTACAGAGTGAGTTCCAGGACAGCCAGGGCAACACAGAGAAACCCTGTTTTGGTTATTTCTGCTCAAAGGTCATTAAGATCTTAAATATCAAGTGCAGTGGATTCTATTTACTTTTCTTGACTGCTTATTCTGAAAGTAAAACAAAAATAAAAACCAAACTACAACAAAACCAGTTGCTTGATACAAGATTGTTATGCCAGGTTCCCAGAACCCCAAACAGACCTCCACAAGGAGCTGACTATCCCAATGCAAAGGTTTCTTTGTTGGTCAAGCTAGCAGGGACCTCTACACTCAGAAGAGGCAGGGGTCCCTAACAATAACTGAGGGGGTGTTTTATAGGCCAAGAGAGAGCCACAAGATTACAAAGTTTCCATGGTTACTCAAGGTCATACAAAGTACAAAGTAAAGCAAAAACTATATATTTTAGCAAGATACATTTGAGCAAGATAGGGCAGGGACATGGGGTCCAGGGAACATGAGTTTGCCAATTATCCCCTGGGCTGGGGAATTTTTACAACCGACAATCAGTAGTTATCTGGTTTTCTTAAGAACAAAGGAAAGTTGACACAGATGGTATCCCTTTCTCTGAGAGCTTTATTTAGGCTCATGATTAGGGGGTCAAATTCTTTCCACCATCAGAAGTTCCCTTTTTCTCTGTATAGGTTCAGCAACCCAAGTTTTTATACTATTACTAATTTTAATTTTTGGTCTTTCAAGATCAGTTAGAAAAATATTACTTCAGTGGATCATATGTTAGTTTAGAAACTTAAATACCTTAAATAGCCTTTTAAACTAGTCTAGTTAATCTGTGTCAGGCAATACCTGTTTGCCACACAGTTAGGATGATCTTTAAACTGCAAATATTTGGTTCTTACTCCTTTAGTCAACTGTCCTTAGTTCTGTGCAGCTTTTACTTAAGCAGCAGCCTGTATATTCACAAAATAACAGAGCAGCAGAGTAATACTGTAGTGATCTGAATGAAAATGCCCCCCACCAAGGCCCATAGGGAGTGGCACTATTAGGAGGTGTGGTCTTGTTGGAGTAGGTGTGGCCTTATTGGAGGAAGTGTGTCACTGGGGGCGGGCTTTGAGGTTTCAGATGCTCAAGCCAGACCAGTGTCACTCTGTCTTCCTGTTGCCTGCTGATCCAGGCACAGAACTTTCAGTTTCTCTCCAGCACCATGTCAGCCTACATGCCACCAGGCTTCCCACCATAACAATTATGGATTAAACCTCTGAAACTTTAGGCCAGGCCAAATGGAATCTTTTCCATTACGAGAACTGCTGTGGTCATTATGTCTCTTCATAGCAATAGAAACCTTAACTAAGACCGAAATCAGAGACTGGGGTATTGCTGTGACAGGCCTGACCATGTTTTTGCCTGGAACACTTTGGGACTTTGGACTAGAAAAGTATTTGGACACTTTAAGCGAGATTTAATGGGACTTACTAGTAGGAGCATAGAAGAAAGTGGTGCTGAGGGTGATTTGAACTGTGGGGGCCTGGTCAAGAGGTTTCAAAGGAGAATATTAGTGTGTGGTCTAGAAATTGTTCTAGTTGTATTTTGGCTGTTTCCTGCCCTTGTCCCCCCCCCACCCCCAAAAAAATCTGCCTGAGGCTGAATTGAAAAATTATGGATTAATAGCTTTGGCAGAGGTGACTTCCAGACAGCCTAGTATTGATTGTGCTGCTTAGTTATTTAGTGGCCACATTTATGCTGATCTATAATAAAAAGGGTCAAGCTGAGAGAGCAAGCAAGCAATATGAGGAAAAAAGGGGCACCAGGAAGTGTAGACAGATTAAAAAAAAAATCTGATTCTGAGTGGAATAATGGGAGTGGTGACCTCAGAGCAAGATCCCACACAACTAAGTTTGCAATTTGTGAAAAGGAATTAAAGAAAAGTTTAGGGCCAGGTGTGGTGGTATACACCTTTAATCCCAGCACTCAAAGGCAAAGGCTGGTAGATCTCTTGAGTTTAAGACCAGCCTGGTCTAACAGCAGTTTCCAGGACAGCCAAGCTTAGGCAGTGAAGGAAACCTTCAAAATGAGAAAGCTGGTGAAAATGTATTTGAATGGGGGGGGGCATGTTCCAGCCCCAGAAAGTACAACTTGGGAAGTTTGGCCATGTTGTTCTGGCTTTAAAATCAAGGATACAAGAAAGGGGTTATAGAATCTCCCTCTGTAATTACAAAAAACCTTTAGAAGCTAGGCATATATTAGCGGTGTCCCTGCACGGAAGCATAGAGAAGCCATTGCAAGAAGCTGTGAAGGTGAAGCCTGGATTGCCTTGGAGACCCCAAGAGTGTTGGAGATGCCAGAGTGGTGGGATACCTGCCAAGGAGAGGTACTAATGGAGTGAAACCAGCTCAAGAGAAAGAAATGTGTTGCAGTCAACAAGGCTGAAAGGAGTTGGGAGATTTGAAGAGCATTTTGACACTAGACTGTAGAGTTTGGAGTTTGCCCAGATGTTTTTGGTCTTGTTTTAGTACAATTCATTATTTCCTCATTATGTTTCCTTTCTTCCTTTTTAGAATGGTAATGAATATCCTGTACCGTTATATAGACTTATGTGACCTGCTTTTTCATTTTGATTTTACTGGAATTATAGTTAAAAGACTGCATGAGTCTCAGAAGAGACTTTGAACTTTTTAAACAGTCCTGATACTGAGATAGACGGTAGGAACTTCGGAAGTTGGACTATGATATGGCTACAAGCTTGTGGGGTCAGGGGAGTAACTGTGGTGGTTTGAATGACAATGGTCCCCATAGGCCCATAAGGCACTAATAGGAGCTGTAGCTTTGTTGAAGAAAGTATGGCCTTGTTGAAGCTTGTCACTGGGAGTGGGCTTTGAGGTTTCAGTCAGTCAGCCAGGCCCAGTGTCACTCTCTCTTCCTGCTGCCTACCATAGACCTGTCAGTTCCTCTCCAGCACCATGTCTGTCTGCAGGCTGTCATGCTACCCACCATGATGATAAACTGTAAGTGAGCCACTCCAATGAAATGTTTTCCTTTATAAGAGTTGCTGTGGTCATGACATCTATTCAAAGCAATAGAACACTAAGACAGGAATTTTCATAAAGTTCCTTTTGCACCTTCCCCTCTATAAAAGCTTATCTGCCTCAGTGATGTTAAGCTTGGTGTTCTGAAATAGTATTCTAGTGTCACAGTGTCAGAAGGTCACACTCCTGCAGATGGGGTAAACATGCCAGCATGAGTTATCTATGGCAGATGCCATTAGTCAAGAAAATGAGCCTCATTGGATGGTCAGGATTTTTTTTTTTTTTTCGAGACAGGGTTTCTCTGTTGATTTGGAGGCTGTCCTGGAGCTCGATCTATAGACCAGGCTGGCCTCGAACTCAGAGATGCGCCTGTCTCTGCCTCCCCAGTGCTGGGACTAAAGGCGTGTGCCACCACTGCCCAGCAGATGGTCAGGATTTTAAAATTTGAAGTACCTAAGTTTTTTCCATGGAGTTAAGAAAACACTCCACTTGCCCTATGAGAGATGCCAGGAAACAAGATAGAGAAAGGGAGATAGAAAAGTGACACCATATAAAGCTGATTATTTATCATAGTAACCATATTCATTTTCCTCCTAGTAGTTCTCAACTTTTTTAAATAATCAAATGTCAACAGAGAAACATGGAAAGACACTTATGAAATACCAAAAGTAAAATTAATAAATTGTTGGTGGCATTTGTATTAAAAAGTATATTTATCTGTGTATTAGAAGGCTGGCTATCACTTGTATACGTATTAAAAGTTTGATAAGAATATTAAGTAAACTATTTTGTAACATTTACTACTTCTTCAAATTACTAAATGTCCTCTACAGCTCTCAATCCCATGTCCTGTGAGCATCTCCTGTGCTTTTCCTCCTAGATGCCTCTTCTCATGTCTTTTGCCTACAATGTCCTCCTTTCCTTTCTCTAGTCAGTAATTTTAGTTAACTTTCATGACCCAGGCTAATCATTTCTAAAACTTCTGGGGAGCAGTTAAAACAGCTCATTCGGTACCACTCATAATCTTGGAGTAGGCTCCCATGAAAAGAAAAAATTATGAAACTTTATAGGCAGAAAAAAAACTGTGGTTTTGAAGGCTGTCCTGGAACTAGCTCTTGAAGACCAGGCTAGTCTCGAACTCACAGAGATCCACCTGCCTCTCCCTCCTGAGTGCTGGGATTAAAGTCATGCGCCACCACAGACCAGCTAAATCATAAATATGTTTAAATAAGGTTGTAAAGATTTTAAAAATTGATTTCTACTTCCTAACAATTCATTAATGATCACTATGGCAAAAATTATATAATAAGCAGGTCCAGTTAACTTCTAATATTCATTCTAGGCCATAGAAGTTTAAAAAGATTTAAGGATTTAAAATATTTTTTGAGGTACCATCAACTACATTTATGTGGAGAAATATTCTAAATGCCAACCTGGATTATGTATAAATACAACCAAAACAACTGAACTCATTCCCTGCAAACAATCTTGCATATGCTTCTGAAGAACTGTTAGTCTCTGGAGGGTCAGATAACGTTTACATGGTCCCTACCTCTAGCACGCTCAAATAAAACTAGCGCAAGCCTGAGGAAACAAAAGCTGTGATGAAGATGGCACCACAACACTGATTTAGGCCATATGCTCTCTTCATATGCTACTCTGAAACCCAGCCAACTAAACAGACTCGGAGATGTTGCTGTATTTGGAATCTGAGTCATAAAATTCCCACAGGAGTAAAAAAATGGTACAAACTGGCAATCTGCTGAGAGGGAATTCTTAGTTACCAAAACCACAACTCATCAATCACATGATAGTGACTAAATCCCTTGAAACAAAGAAAAACACAACAAGAAGTAGTAGTTTGAATATATGTATGTGCACACCACATACATTTCTCTAAGGCCAGAAGAAAGAAAGAAATTCCTAAATAGCACTTTTGGCAATTGTCTCGATTTTATTTAGGTTTATTTTTAAAAATGTGTCATTACTATTATTCTATGGATACAACGTACTCATCCATGTTTCTATATTTCATAAATTTTGAAAGAAAATATACCAAAGGTTTACTTTTTCAAGCATCACTGCATTTACTAATTTCAAAACAAATACTTTGTGACCAGTACAGAAACAAAATGACCCATACCACTGTACTCAAAACTGTAAAACAACACAATTCTCCATTTCTTAGATAAAAGTCACTTGTAACCACTAGAGCACAGAAGTACACAGATGTGGAGAGTTAAGTGTAAGATGTGGAGGTAGTTAAGTGTAAACTGCTGAGTGCACCTGTTGGAATGCACAGATACGACGCCAGCTGCCACTCAATTCTGTACATTACTCTAGGGATCCTAACTGAATGCCACATCATGAACAAACACTAAATTCTTCAAGAGTCTTTAAAAAGACTTCGATGCGCATGTATAACACACACACACACATACACACACACACACACACACACACAGTGCACTGTGGCTCATGGAGCATGTGTGGCTTCCTCCTCCATCCACCATGGAAAGAAAAGAGTCATTATATTTCTTTGAACTGATGGCATTTATTAGGACATTAAGAAGGTCTTCAAAGAGGTTTTTTGCTTGTTTGTTTTGTGTTCTCCTCCCATCCCCAATAAATCCATAGGACTGGTCTGTAAAAATAACTACAAGCAAAGTGGCATAGACCTCATTTCTGCTACTTGGGAGGCTAATGCATGAAGATCTCAGGTTCAAGGTCAGCCTGGGTAATATTGACACCTGTTTCAAATTTTTGAAAAGTTAAAAAGAGGTCTGAGGAAACGGCTTAACATGCATGTATGGAGCCTTAGGTTTAACCCTTAATAACCCATCTCCTCCACCTAGGGAGACCAGACAGTTCAAATTGGCAATGCCTCACAAGTAGTATAATGAGTTGTGCTGTTTTACTTTCCCAGTGTATAACACCAAAATATAAGTTAACAGCTGTCTTAGTTAGGGCTGCTATTGTAAGGATGAAACACCATAACTAAAGCAATTTGGGGAGAAAAAGGTTGATTTGGTTTACACTTCCATATCACTGTTTGTTGTGAAAGGAAGTCAGGCCAGGAGCTCACACAGGGCAGGAACCTGGAGGCAGGAGCTGATGCAGTGAGTTGAGCCTGTAACAGGGACGCAGGCCTTAGCAGGCCCTCAGACCTTGACAAAATTGACTCCATGATGAAAGTATCATTCAGGCTGTAAAACTCAGAGGGTAGACAACACCACCTGCCAAAACTAAAACAAAGTCCTAATCCATCGAAGTCCATAGTTATGGGAAAGTCTCTAAAATGTAAAGCAAGGTTAGTACCTTGCTTTTTGGCTTCTGTAGTTATGCTTCTTGCTAACTCTTCTTGTTAACTGAAGTGTGTCAACCCAGGACATGGATTTTGTGCTTAAAAGATCACCCTGAGAAAGGTTTGGGGTTACACTGGGATCCCAAACACCAGTGCAAGTTAATGGCCAGCTAATAAAGACTTTCCATTGGCTTAAACCCATGTCCAAACAGTCTTTTCTGGTAAATACAGACTACAACAGGCCCTCCCCATTCAATCACATACTTTTAAAAAGATCTACAGGTTTGTCTGTAGCCCAGGCTTACAGAGGTGTTTAGGGCTCCCTTCTCTCTGATGATTCTAGCCTGTGTCAAGTTGACACAAAATTAAGCCAGCACAACAGCATCCTACTACTCATGGACAATTAAAATGGAAAGAAAAAGCTAAAGATTCTGACTACCCTCCCATTTCTCACTCACTCTAATAAATTCAATTGGTTTGATAACCTTTTCTCTCAAAAAAGGTATCATCAGCGTCAAGCCTGACACTCATAGAAATCACTAGAAATAACTGTACAAAAAATCGAGAACCAACAATATTGACAACTAAGTTACAACGTTAACTAGTGGCAAACTAAGGTTTTAAACCATACCAACCTATTATCAAACAAAAGTACAGTTTGCTTTGAGGATTCTTGAGTGGTGGATTTGAAAGGAATCTACAAAGTGTAAAAATGTAAAACCTGATACCTAAGCTTGCATGAGGGCACTGGCACCTAACACTCTTGAAAAAGTATATTCAAGAGTCCTCACTATCAGGGAAGTGAAAAAACCAATTTACAGAATAGTAAAAGGCTATTAAGTAGAGATTTGTATTTAGAATATATAATTAATTCTTCTAATTCAATGATGAAAATACAACTTGGGTTTTAAAAGATGAACTAAGGATAAGAATCGACAATTTCCGGGTGATGGGCCAGATGGACTTGGGAATGAAATCTGACATAAGGAAAAGCAAACCAAGTCTACCATGAGATACTCTGAATTTCCTTGAGTGGCTAAAACAAAAATGAAAGACAAAAACAAATACTGGTGAGGTTAACTTAAAACCTTCAAACACGTCTGGTGGGGATGTAGTGGTGCAGTGCCTTGGAAAACCTTGGCAGTTTCTGAAAAGCCTAAACAAGAGGATTAGCATATAACTCACCTACTCTATTACCAGGTTATTATATCCAAGAGAAATGAAAACATGCCTGAACAAAAACTTATACAAAATGTACACAGTATATTATTACTGGCCAAAAGGAAAAAAACTCAGTGTCTATTAATGGCTAAAAGGACAAATAAATGACCCGCATCTGCATAATAGACTTTTATAAAATAAACAATAATGAAGTAATAAAGCTCTGACATGGGTGAACTTGAAAAACATTCCTTTAAGGTGAAAGAAGCTAAAAGCACGCATTCAAATCAGATATTTTAAGGTTCTGTTTATATGGAACACCTAGAATAAATCTGTAGAGACAAAAAGAAAATAGATTAGTGATTGCCAAGAACTAAAGTGGGCAGGAATATTGGGAAAAGGTGAGGAAAAGGAGCTAAAACTATGTTTTGTTTTGGTTTTTTGAAGTAATCAAATTGTTCCAAAATTGACTGTAGCAATGGTTGTGCAATTCTGTCAATACACTTGCACCAATGAGTTGTATACTTCCAGATAATGAGTTGTACCTCAAGAAAGCTCTTACAGAGGAAGATGAAAAAGTTCCCTGCCCGAGATTTTCCACAGAAGTTAACAGTCAACAAGCATCTCATTCGATAGGAAAGGTAAAACTTGTAGACAGCATGGGCCCCAAACTGTTAAGTTATTAAAATGGCAATATCTGAACTGGATGCTGTAAGAAATGATGGGCTAATGAGAGTGGTTGTAAGTGGATAGAAATATGAATGTTCTCTCTAAATGCAGGAACTTAATGAAAAAAAAATAAAGCAATAGTGAAAAAATGAGTAAGGGGGAAATAGGAGGCACAGATCAGGTAATTCGGAGGCCTAATAAATAACAAACGGGAATGGGATTCATTTACATAAATTCTGGTCTTTGACTCGCAAAGGATTATAAGGAGACAGAAAAACCTGACAAACGAGCTATATATGTATCCAGGCGGCCAAGAATGAGCAATTTGGGGGAGGAGGGTTTGAGATGAGAGAACCAAGAAACAGTGAACTCTACCTAAGGGGCACAGTCCTTGATCTTGATCTGGGTAACATGCTCATGCCTCATCAGGGCCAAAGGGACACTCCATTTCACAAAGGCCTCTCAGAAAGAAAACGCAGCTCCACGGGGTGCAAAATTTGCTGCCCGGTTAAAAACCACAATGGGTCACTACCTCTATCAATTCGGTTCACCCTGGACATAAAAAAAGAGCAACAGTTGCATTTAAAAGCTTTCAAACAGAGATCGGAAGTCGTCTGCTGAGGAAATAAAAGCTGAAAGAACCGGGTGGTATCCACGCGTGGAAACTAAGGCAGCAACGAAGCCCCAGGTGTGTCTGGGACGGACTTTACCTGGAGTCACCCGAGGGGAGGGGCGACGCGAGGGCGTCCCGGGACCACATCTCCCCTGGGGAGGTCGGTTGGGAGCTCCCTCCCGACGATGGATGCGGCCGGCACCAGCAGCTGACCCGGGGCCTCCAGGACCGCTCGCGTTTCCATGGCTAACATCAACTGCGCTCCCGCCTCCCAGGAGGCAGTGCGCACGCGCGCTCGGAGGCGGGGCTGGGCGTCTCGCTCCGCCCCCGTCGGCACGACCCGGCGGGAGGTGGGTTCCCGTGCACAGCGCAGGGGAGCGGGGTGGGCGGTGTTTGCTCCGCGCCGGGGCCTAGAGCTGTGGGCTTCGCTAGGATCCGACTGCCACTCAGGTCCTTGAACATCCATCCTAAGCACCACCTCTGAGCTCTGACCCGGGCTACGCTCAGACGCAAGAACGTGGTTGCCTTGGTGACGAAATGTTCCTGCGCTGCGAGCCTCCAGACTACTATTTTGGGAGCCTAGGAGCTCCAAGATTGGCAGACCCATGACTCAAGAATGTAATAGGAGTTCAATCCACTAGGGTCCTGAGACCAACATTAATGACCACAGAACTAAAGCCAGACAACAGCCTCGGGATTCTGAATGCTTTTAAATGGCACCACGTGCCTATTCTACTTAGATTTGAAACCAAATACCCTTGTTGTCTTGCACTACTAGATACTGCCTTTTCCTGTTTACAAAATGAAGGTTCATGACCACAGCAAGTCTTGGTACCATCTTTCCAACTATATGTGTCTATTTTTGTGTCATATATCGGTGATTCTCAAAACGTTTTAAACAATGTGTATATTTGTTACATACACGATCTCAATTCAAATGTTTTCACTCCCCCCCCCCCCCCCCCCAGACAGTATTTCACTGTTTTGTGTAGCCCTGGCTGTCCTAGATCTCACTCAGTAGATCAGGCTGATCTTGAACACACAGAGATCCTCTCCTGCCTCTGCCTCCGGAGTGCTGGAGTGCTGGGATTAAAGGCGTGTGACACCACCGTCCCACATGTTTTTACTCTTCATAGTATAATACTTTGGGGACATTATAAACTATATTCATATAATAGTGAACTTATCAGTGACAGTGGGCCAGGGGCCAGGGACACAGGTTGTGCATAGCCACCTTAGCAACCCGAGTTCTTTTCAGAGATCAAAAAATTTCAGGGTGGGCCTGTATGAAGCAGAGTTGAGAGTTTGTTAATGATTTTATCATAAAGTGCAGGGGTTAATAGGTATGCTCAATGACAAGGTAAGACACACGAAAGTGTGGGGACTTTTCCCTTTACATGGTCACATATATGATTTTGGTGATGTCTGAGCTTACACAGAAAGCTATGCTATGAAAGTGGAGTGACATAAGCAGGTTACTGATGTCCATTGGATCTAATACAGCTGATAGGTTAAAAGGGTATTTTGAAAAATATGTTTATAGTCTTGTTTGAGTCCCAGAACTTTTCAGATTTATGTATTTTTGGAAAAGAGTGAGGTCATGAATACTCAGGTCCTAAGCATGACTTGCAGATATTTAAACATTCGTATGTGAAATGCGTCCCTAAAAAAGGAGTATTGTCTCTCTGTAGGCAGTCTTCACAGGAAATTTTAATTCTTCTGGGATTCTTTTCTTGCTGGGCTATCTGACCTCAAATGTCAAAACAACTCTTTCAGCTTCTCAACATACATTAAAATTTTACCTTATTATATTGTGGGTTACTAAATGCACAATAGCTTATCTTTAAAAAACCCCAACATGCATATCTTAATTACAAAACACTTCTGTGGGGGTCTGGAGCGGTGGCTCAGGAAAATCCTTGACTCTCAGCTAGTAGAATTTCAACCAGTCTCTGGAGTAAATGGCTTCTTTATCTTACTTTCCCCTTTCTCGTTGTCTCAAACTTAATTGATAAATGTGTTTTGACAGTTCTACAAATTAGATGATTTCATTTTCTACTTCTCCGACCTCTCTATTTCTTAAGACAAAACAGTGTTGGATTTAAGCCAGCTAATAACTCTAGAATGATCTCTAAGTGTCCAAGTCATTCTAGTTTTTGTTTTAAAGTGAAGAGTTGAATATCTAGTACTTTAAAACAAAAACTAGAATGACTAAGCTTGGTGAGGCGGACATGCCAAAAGCCAAGCCTCCTGGACCAACTGATCAAGTTGTAAATGAAAAGTTCTTAAAGGAAATTAAAAGTGACATTAAGAGAACACACAGATTAAAAGAAACAACTGTTGACTGCTGATGTGGAGAAAATCTTAGTGGTCTGGATAAAAAAAAAGTTACAGTCTGTTCAATTCTATCAAGGATGAGAGAGGTAATGAAGTTACAGAAGCAAAGTTTGAAGCTTGAGTAGGGTGGTTCATGAAGTTTAAAGAAAGAAGCTGTTTTGTAACATTACATGGCAAGGGAAAACTGCAAGGACTAATACATCAGCTATAGGGAGTAACCTGGAAGATCTAGTTAAGATATTGAAGGTGGTCACACTCAACAGCCCATTTTAAGTTTAGAAGTAGAGCCTGGAGATGTGAGCAAATTGCTTTAATCCCATGGTAAAACTTCAATGATGAGGAGCTGCATTTTAGGAATAAGCAAGAGGAAGTAATTTTCTAAGACAGGACCTGCTTCCTGGAAAAGATGCTAATGTGTTACAATGACAACAGAGGATTTAGAATATGTAAGTGTGCTTGGTAGAGTAGTAGCTAAGTTTGAAAGTGAAAGACCCCCGCCCTTAGCTTTTTCTTTTAAGTTTGCCTCCTCCTCCGGTCGGCAGCTGGTGGAGCGCGTGGGGAATACATCCTCCCCTGCACTCCCCGACCCTTGATCCCCACAGCTTCCGGCTCTCACTTCCCCGGCCCCCGCCGGATCGCTCCGTCCCAAGGTCAGCCATCTGGACGCGGCAGAAGATAAAGGCCATTTCGCCTGACTACTACTGTGCCTTTTTCCCCTATAAAAGGACCCCCCTTCCGGGGCTCGGGGCTTGGCCTAACAGAAGCTAAGCCCCCGGGTATGCGCGCCACCAATAAAGCCTCTTGCTTTTGCATCCAAAGTTCGTGGTTTCGCTGATTCCTGGGTGCGGGTCTCCTTCTACGAAAGTACCTCTTCGAGAGTCTTTCAAAAGAATCAACTCCAATTCTGGAAGAAGTTCTACTGTGATTAAAATGTTATCAAATAGCATCACATGAAACCTTTTGTGAAAGGAATAAGTCAGTGCAGAAAACATTGTTGTCTTAAGAAATTGCCCCAGCCACTCCAAGCTTTAGTAGCCATCACTCTGAACCAATCAGTAGTCATCGCCGTTGAGATAATCTACTAACAGAGATAACTCTGATGGTTATTAGCAATTTATTATCAATAAAATATTTTACATTTTATTTTAATTTTAATTATGTGCTTATGAGCATGGATTTTTGCATATGAGTTTAGGCTCCTGCTAAGGTCAGAGGAGGGTTTTGTATCCCCTAGACTTACAGGCCTTTGTCAACTGTCCAGTGTGGGTACTAATTGTGAGGAACTAGTTGGGAGGAACTAAACCCAGATCCTCTAAAACAGCAGCAAGCACTCTTAACTGCTCAGTCATCTCTCTAGTCCCCCAATGAAATATTTTGCAATTAAGATATGTATTTTGCTTTTAGATACAATGCTATTATACACTTAATAAGCTATAATATAATCAGATAAAACTTTTATATCTATTGAGAAACTGAAAATGCTGTAACTCTGTTTTGACATTTGATTTACTGAAGTGGGCCATGTAGTGTAAAAGGGCCAGCCAAAGAAATACACCCTGACCCTGAAATCAGAGTCAGTGAAGGAACACACCCTAACCCTGAAACCAAAGAAACACACCCTAACCCTGAAACTAGAGCCAGTAAAAGAAACACACCCTGACCCTGAAAACTAAGCCAAAGTTTAAAAAGGGACAGTGGGGTGGGGGGTGGGGGGCGATGACAACACACTTTGGCCCTGAAGCCAAAGCTAAAGAAAGGCACTCTGTTGCTAACCTACTCAGCACTAAGCCAACCAATCCCTGAGCAGGAAAACAAACCAATCCCTGAGCACATAATCAACCAATCCTTGAGCACAAAATCCAGCCAATCTCTGAGCTTGTCCAAACTCAGGGATTGAAATCTGACCAATTTCCACCCTGAAAATCTTCAGCCTGCAAAAACTCTGTCCCTAAGAACCCCTATTTAAGCCCTGTGCCCATGCAGTTGGGAGCTGCCCTTTTCCAGCCTGGCAGAGGCAGCCACTCTCCCTGGATTCTTCCCTTGCAATGAATCTCTTGAATGCGTTTTGGGAGGGGAGTGGAGCAGGGCAGAGAAGCAATGGACCTCTCCGCTGGGAGGAGTGGAGCAGACAACAGCTTCCCCGAGAAGCAGCAAACTGCTACATTTCTGTGGGGGTTTCTCCCTTAGCAGAGTGAAGCAAAGAAGTAACAATTTTTCTCAGATGGGAGAAACAACAGATGACATCTCTGCTGGGAAACTCTTTTAGTGAGCACTGAGCTAGCTATACAGGCTGTCTTAGAGAGGAGCAGGTTTGCTACATCCTGCAGGGAGACCATCCCCTACCCGAACACAGCTACAGGTATAGCCTGACTTCCCGACAGCTAGATCACCTTTCTCTTCAGAGCTACAACACTTGCAGGCCAAAACTAAACACGAAGTATGTACAAGTTACGCTTTATATGTGTAATCTTATCTTTATTATATATATTTTTTTCATGAGTAGATTTATAGCTGCATTCTTAGGTTTGGAGAATGGCCATTACTGAAACGTGTTACTAAAATACTTGTTTTGTTAATAAAGGAAAAGTTCTTATGCTCCAACTATCTCCTAAAAGCATTTGCTAATTGTTTTTAGGGCAGCATTCATTTCAGATCCAGGAATCTTTACTTAAGACCCACTATTATTGTTAAAAATTTACCTATACCTTCAACATCCACTTCTCTGATTCTCCGACCTTATTTCAAGTTCTGGACACAACACATTCCAGGTTACCAATTGGGAGTCCTCAATATAGCTCCTAAGAGATTTAACATTCATCTCAACTGACTCATCATACATGGAAACTCTGAAGCCAAGTTGTTGGTGTAAGGGTACTTGTGTTCTCTTGTGTGGATGATATTCTACCAATTTTATA